GATCGATCTGACGGGCCGTAGCCGGATTAGTGATCGATCGGGTGTGTAGGCATCATCTGCCTCTACCCGTCCCTCATGTGCTTACATCCAATCGTCAGCTGTGGATGACGTTGAAGACTTTGATCGTTTAAAACTTGTGCGATAGTTTAATATCATCTATTTTTGAGACGGGTAAGAAAAATCCGAGCCCTTTGAAGATTGCTCTTTGCGCATACAAGCTCGAATTCAACATTTGAGAAGATCAATGACGCGCTGTCGACTATCAGCATCACCACTTGTCCTTTCTGAGACCGTTTGTGAAACCACAGAAAGCTTGTGAACGGATGCATACTAGCATATCTCCCATGATTCTTTCAAACTACCTTGTATTGAATGGGTTTAAAGCTACCACCATTAGACTTGCCAGCTGAACAAGCAGTAATAGCAATAATGAGATCCATCTCCGCGACAAAGTCGATATGATCACCAGCCTTACTGATAGGCGGCTCCACCGTGAATTTGCCCGTTTTGCCATCTACAGGCACATTCATGAAGCAATTGAACGCGCAAGGAATGCGGTCTGGCGCGATGTCGTATTTGCTTAGCGCAAGGGAGAGGTTGCCGAAACAGCCGTGGTGCGGCTCCTTGTCGCCGTAAATGATGCGGAAGGTGTCTTTGGAACACGGCGTAAGCAGAAAGTCGTGACGTCCGCAAGTGTCGTCGGCGATTTTGAGCATGACATTGCTGCGATTTGAGTACAGCGGGTGGTTGGTCGTCAGGTATATGGTGTCTGCATAGTCAAATGTGCGTCCGTTGGATATGACCTCGTCTGTGTCGTGTCGGCTGAATGCCACAAGGTCAGAGACTTGACCGCCTTTCGGATCGATTACTGTTAGGCGTTGGCCCTTATCGACGAAGAAAGAAGTTCCTGTCCGGGGCGCGAGTTCGATGATGCCATCGGGTAATTGTCTAGTATCCTCCATTCCGGGAATTCGGCAGGGGCTGTGATCAGTCGATTGTGGCAGTTTAAGTGCTAAATCGAGGTGAACCATGAATCAAATGGTAGATATTGAGGCCGTTCTAGAAACGGGACGGTTATTGAGCTACGAGATATTCCATGACTTTGTAGTATTGAGCATCCTCAATAGTTGGCAAATTACAGCAGCAACTCGTAATATTCATCATTGCTAGTTTCGCTCTACCACAGTCCTCGCATTATTAGACATAAAATCTATGCCTAATTAAGAATTGATCTGTAGAGAAGCATAAACAGGCTTAAGGGCTTTCCTTTCATCTAGTGTAGATCATTTGCTGGATCCTGATCAATCAGCTGAGGCACCTAGCCCAGAGCAGTCGATTTGAATGCCAGCTGTGACGAATATTACGAGATCACACGGTAATGTTGATCAGAGGGTAACCGCAGCATTCCGTTGTCGATGATGCGACCATCAAAGGCATGACCTCAGCGGCTCGTGTTTTAACACCCGGGAGGATCCACCTTTCCCCAGACTCGATCTGTCATCCCGATAAATCTGGGGGAGCCGTAGAAGACGACTTCACCACGAAAAGCTGCAGCAAAATGATTAATAGCGTGATTAGATGACAAGCTAATAACAAAAGCTTATCTCGGACAATTCTTGCAGTTGATCGACCTGACAGCTGATGCTTGCTTTGCGCACTTTACCTCGAAATGGTTTACAGCCTATTTACATATCGGAGGAAAAGTTCCGGCCGGGATATATGTGTGCATCATCGCTTGGCGCATACATCATGTTGATTTCATTAGTTCTATCCATAGACCACACAATTCTAGCAATAACCATGACGCTATTGGGAGTTTTGTGTTACGGATCTTTCCCAGAAGCCTGACAGCTCGATCCAAGACTAGCTTCCGATCCTGGTACTTCAGTCAATTCACGTCAATGACTTATACTTTGTCCTGTTGGTACTATGAACATTGCCAGGTTGCCACTATGATAGTACCTATAAGTTGAGTCTACTCCCACTTAGAACTGATACTGAACTGGCACTCTCTTTGAACATATGACGTGATATCACTGCGTATTCTCAAATTCTCCTCATCATGCAGCTCGCTATCAATGCCGTCATCTTATTCACCGCCGTTACGGTGGTGGCTAAGTTAATACAATTTCGAAAAGCCCCTATCAATCAGTTCTTAAAGAAGCTAAGATTTATCACGAATGGCTTCAAACTCGGGACACCTCCGTCGAAACACGAGGAAGCCGCCTTACGCGTCGATGACGTGAATGAGATCCCGTCATCTTCATCAACGGACCTATTGACGAGGTTCGCGGCTCACTCATCGGTTATATTTTCAAAACTGACATGCTATCAGGACTGAAGTTGAGACTCGGTTCGGCAAGGATACTTGGCAAGGCCTTGCGTACCAAGATTTCAAAAGCACAATATTAGCCAAGGGGAGCGGAATGAAGACATTTCCTTGCGTATACGCCACCATGGGCTATCGATCAGACGATCATCGCTATGTTTTCCTGGAGTCAGACAACCCATCGGAGCCTCGAAATGTTCGAAAGGTAGCTCTAGCTTTAGTTGAGTATCTACGGATGTCAACCTCTCTGGGCCCTAATACATCACTCGTCGTCATTGGCGGCCCCTCCGAGAAGCAGCGGACTGTCGAAGAGCATAACCGTACCTTCTGGGACATGCTTCGAGGCCTTCGTATCTGCGATCCAAGACCTTGGCCAGAAGATATTCCACAAGACACAAAGGATGCTAAGTGGACATTTTGCTTCAATGGAGAGCCCGTCTTCCCGGTCATGTTAACCCCAGCCCATCAGAAGCGATGGAGCAGACATATGAGTGTACCAATGATCGCCTTGCAGCCGAAATGGGTTTTGGATAATTTGCTCGGAACTCCTGAGAAGCGAAAAGCTGCACAGAGTAAAGTTCGGAACCTGTTGCAGAAGTACGATACTATAGGCGTCAGTCCGGATCTGACCGCTTACGGTGCAGTTGGTACAAGCGAGGCCCGCCAGCTATGCCTACAGGACAAGAACGAATCGGTCCAATGTCCATACCGCAACTTTGATAGCTAGACAATAGAGCTACAGAAGTAGATAATAGATTTCTGTGCATTGCTAATCACACGCCCGTGGGCGAGCAGCTCCCATTCAGGTATCAGAACTTGGCAATCTGAGGGAGCAGTTCGGCGGTGCTGATCATGTGTCAGGTATCCTCTTGCATCTTCTTGTGCGACTACGGCTGGATTGGTCAATCATGCAAAATAGAAATTATACAGTTGAACAAGTTTTGATGATAGAGTGTATTTCATTGCCGACAGGACAGAAGCCGGGTAAGGCTCTATGTGATGGGCTATCTTGCCTGGTCCTCTGGGCTATAATAACTAGGCTTCCATTGCAACTCGGACCTATTCACTGTTAGAATGTGTTGCCAAGTATGAAGGATCGATATGATATACCTCTGTAGCCGTGTCGTAGTCAAACATCCATTTATCAAAGGGCAGAGTATTGAATGGTGCATTGCCGTCGCCTTCACCCATGGGTAATGCCCTCTGCTCGCCCGTCAACTCGGATCCCGGGGGTTTGCCAGAGTTATACAGCTTGTAATTCCACGTCGAGCCATTCTGAAGCCTCGTCACCCGAGGAATGCGAGTCTTTTCCCATGTCTCGATTGTCGTCGGCACGTCCCGGCTGCTCTCCGAAAACAGTATGGACAAGGCATCTATATCCTCCACAATAGAGCTGAATCCTTCCGCCAGGTTCGGAAGCATCGCATGCGCCGAGTCTCCAAGAAGTACCAGCCTCCGCTTCGGACTCGACCACGTATCCAAAGGTTCCAGTCTAGCCAGCCGCCAGCGGGAGCAGCTCTGCACCATGTTCGCCAAAGCAACGACCGTGGGATTGAACGACGAGAAGAAACTCTTGACGACTTCACTGTCGTCAGTCGCATCAAAGAGCTTTTTCTCACTGGCTTCGCTGTCTTCAGCACCATGTTGAATCGAGAACATGATGTTGAACAGGCCTCGATGGTGATTGTACTTGCCAATGGCATATCCACCATGGCCAGCCCACATGATGCCATTTTCTGACTCAGGTTGTTGACAGAGGGACTTGGTTCTCTCGTCGTTGGCTAGCATATCAGCTGGGATCTCAGTTGGGTAATGTGTCGAAGGCGCTCGGATCACGGTGAGACGAGATGGGTCGACATGAGAAAGAACCTGAGATCGCAGACGAGAGGATATGCCATCGGCTGCCAAGATCAAATCTGCCGTGACTCTACTGCCGTCCTTGCAAGTTGCATATGCGGCTTGGTCATCCTCTTCAACCGTGATGATCTCATTTCCGAAGTGCATCTTGGCTCCTGCTTTGCATGCCTCGTCATATAAAACGGTCTGCAACGCCTGGCGATCAGTGGACCACTCCGGAAACTTAGAATAAATACCAGGATCAAGAGTATGCAACAGCTCGTTCGTGTTGCCATTGCGAGTCTCGTGCTCTTTGATCGGTGCAGTCACAGCTTCAAAGGCTTCGCGCATCTGCCATCGGTAGAAACACCTGACGCCATTTGATCTCACAAAGATGGCTCCGCTCGCAGTGGATAGCGATGGAGATCTCTCGAACAGGTCGACTTCGTGGCCGTCGCACGCCAATCGGCACGCTGCAGTGAGACCTCCTAAGCCTCCGCCTGCAATGACGATGCGCTGTTTCTTCACATCCATTGGTGCTGACAGGTCTTGCTTAGGCCGGCTTGAATAGCGAAAGGTTGAGACTGAATGTCTCCAAGGTCGACACGTAAAAGCCTCTTATAATGTGGCATGACTTGTTTAGTGGTTGCGTCATGTCGCATTAGATATCGTTCCATGATTACGGACTGAAGGTAATCTCACCTAAGATACAGCCGCGTAATACAGCGATCATAAGCAAATATAAGCACTAGAAGTGATTAGCTTGGAGCGTTGCAAGAATATCAACCGAGAGACCTGAAATGCAACTTCTACGCAAACGGAAAGACACAAATCAGTCAAGATGGCCGAGTGGTCTAAGGCGCTGCATTCAAGACTCTGTCTTACCTAGTCAATTAGGGATTTCTGCAGTATCGAAAGATTCTTGGGTTCGAATCCCAATCTTGACAAAGATTGAGTTTGTGTTTTTACAATTAATTCCAATTTTGTGATAACGCTGTTCTTTTTCTCCCCCTTCTAAGATAATATAATTTCAACTATATTGCAAAATAGCATTATAAGCTATTAAGTATAATTCTACCTTTTTAACATTTTAGGTACTTAAGTATTTATTTTGAACTTTCTTATTAAATTTTTAAAGGATGTTAACTATACTCCAATAAATGCTAATTTCATTACTAATTCGTTATAATTACTCTCCAATGTTTATTATCACATAATCGCATTCCCTCTGCCATGTGGAGGTCAACCTTAACAAGTCACTCAATAAGGCCAATAATGCAGAGACTGATTTCAACGACCCTAAGCGCGGACATTAATATTAGAGGAAGCACTTATGAGATGAGACTGATGGAACTTACGTCGATACACAGGCAAGTACCAGTGCGGCAAGGAACAGAGGCTCCGATGGTTCAGTATCATCATCAAGAGCGTTGCCACCCGGCCACCAATCTCGGAACCATCCAAAGCAAGCAAGGCAAGCAATTGATCCAATGGTAATGAAGCAATGTATAACGAAGCTGAATGATGGACGAACGGTTGGAAGAGCCTTGGTCACTGAGCAGACGAGTTCTATCAATGACCAGCAGAGTGCCGTGACGAACTTACTGATTAGCCGACAGCCTGATAAAGAGTCGTAATAGACTTACCGCCGGACCTAGTATTCCAATAGCGACAGCATTCCTCGATGCAGGGATAGCTGCAACAACAATGCCCGAGATTGCAACACAAAGGACTAATACTCGCAGAGCCAGGCCAAGGTTCCTGAATCTCGGTGGCTTCTGTGGCTGAGAAATCGCGGTTTTGGGATCGTCTTCCAAGTCCATGTCTATTGATAGGGCTGATAAGATAGCTAACAAAGCATAGTTGACCTTCAACAAGGCCTTTCAAGGTGGCGATGCCATCACGCCTCTTTATGAGTTTCACAATGGCAAGATAGGCTGACGCAGAATACGTAAAATGGTCATGAGACACGGGCAAAAAATTGCACCGCTGCTCCCAACGACTGATTGCCCAACATTTCCATATTAAAAATTTTATAATGACATGCCACTTTTTTTAGCCTCATGACGCAAGTGTCACTGACACGTGAAGACGGAGCGCAAGGCTGGCTGTAAAGCCCGTTGGCTTTTTATCTCTGGAGCCACGTGGGTATTCGCTGATAACAACAAATTAGGATCTACCTCGACTTTGACTGTTTAAAATCATGGTTTGAGGTATTTACTAACAGATGTCGATATGCAGGGACCCGCAAGTGCTAAATCGTCCATAGAGATAAACGCCGTTTTGATAAAGATGTCAGAATTGGGTTTAGCTTGCGAGACATGTCATGATCTAACTGGGTCTTGGGGACCATGACTAACGATGGCTTCATGCCCATCACATGCTTAAAGTGACTGCCTATTACGCAATTTAGATAAAATAAGCTTTGATAAGGACACGGAGGCTCGGGAGAACTGCTACCGGAGTGCGAGGACACCGTCGGGTCGGGGAGATCTGTCTGCGTTGCTGATGCGTGGGTGGCTTGTAATTCCGTCGGAGCATTTAGAGCTGAGCTTGCTTGGCTACGGATTAGGGCTGACTACAACTACCGGTTCTAACTCCCGTTTACATTTTAGCTGAGATGGATGGACGCTTGGCGTACCAACAGAACGAGAGCGTGGGCCCGCCTTACAGTTGTATTATTTTCCTGCGTCTAAAGCTCCATGTTATCCAGTTTGTTGATTTGGGACCTTAAATTCAGTAATTAAAGAACAGTTGCTTTTCGACTAAGTTGTATTTGTAGGCTAAGCTCTCAGCCACAAGTCTCCTCCACTGCAAATGACACATCTGGCTCACAAGTTTGCTTCTCGGCGGGAGCATCTGGCATTGCGCGATGGTAGTTAGTGCAGTCGATATTACCTTCAAAGGCGCTCAATGCTAGAAATACTATCGACCCGGTCAAGGTCACAAATAGACTAGATTGTCTTACCGAGGAGGATACTTCTGTAGCCATTATTCATATCATCATTGAAGCTGTTACTAAGAAACTACATGATTACCCAAAATTTACATGTTTCTCCAATCCGACTGTGCTGGTGGTTCAGGTGCCCTCGGCCTTCGGAGGTATGGCATCCGTGTCCGATCCCTAACAGGTTCTTCTTCTGACTCTAGTTCATCTTCGAATTCAACAATTGGGTCACGACCCGGTGTTACTTTATGCTGATCACCTGGCACAATCCTTCCACCTACTCCCCGGAGTTCACTTCTTTGGCCAACGGATGGTTGACTCCATACTCTGCTTCGCGACCCATTGCTCCTGTTTGGGCCTAGAGGTCTTCCCTGCATTGATCCACGAATCGGAACTCGGGGATCTCCACACGCCTCAAGATACTCTTCTGCCTCTGGTATACAGGAAGGCTGCTGTCGAAGTCGGGCTTCGTTTGATGCTTGTGTATCTTGCCGCTGATCTCCTGTGGGCTGGGTGTACTCCTTACGCCGTGATGGCGGTCGGCTTAAAGTTGGTGAAGTTGGTTCCAGCGTAGATGGATCCCAAACAGGAGATGCTTGGTGTCTTGGAACATGATAGCCTTGTCTGTTGTTGTAAGTCCCTAGCAGTTGCTGTGGAAGAGGTGAAATCCCCATTTCGAGATGTTCAATTATGTGATTAAGCTTCGATTCAAGGCTTTGCAAATCGCGCTGACGCATCAGCACTGATTCTCTGTGATCCACTTCAATTCTATTGTGATGAGAATCGGCGAAGCTTCTTGATGATCCTGCGTATGAGTCTTGGTATTCCTGATTCCGTCGATCCTCGAGGAGACGATGAATAATGCCCTTGAGCTCACAAATCTTTTGTCTCTCAGTCTCCACCGAAGTGCTATCGTCGAGTAAGAACTGACTTGTGGGCAATAAGTTTCGGCGTCCACGGTATTCTTGCCTTCCTGGGTCGGATCGGATTTCGGCATTTTCTTTAACTTCTTGCTGAATCTTTCTTAGCATCGCCATAATTTCAGCGTTAGTAACGGTATCCTCAGGTAATGCCTTTTCTTTCCTTCTCAGCATATCCATAATTTCAGCATTAGTAACGGTATCCTCAGGTAATGCCTTTTCTTTCCTTCTCAGCATATCCATGATTTCAGCATTAGTAACGGTATCCTCAGGTAATGCCTTTTCTTTCCTTCTCAGCATATCCATAATTTCAGCATTAGTAACGGTATCCTCAGGTAATGCCTTTTCTTTCCTTCTCAGCATATCCATAATTTCAGCATTAGTAACGGTATCCTCAGGTAATGCCTTTTCTTTCCTTCTCAGCATATCCATGATTTCAGCGTTGGTAACCCTATCTTCAGGCAAAGTCTTTGCTTTCTTCGACGTTGGTGATCTCTTATTGCGCGGCTTCTTCCCTACCTCATCTCTATACAAATTTTCCGTATCGCGCTCTGGCTGGACGTCTGGGATTTGAGGTTCTCTTGGCCTAACTGGAGTTCTTAGGGGATCTTGTGCTGGGTATTCTGGAGGCGGTGGGATCTCCTGGTCGTAATCGTAGTCATCGAAACCATAACCCGATTCGGGATATCCTCCGAAAGAATGGCCGTATGGGGATCGGCCGGACGGCTGCGCGAAAGGATTTCTGGTTCGAGGAACAGAGAGATAGCCACCTTGTCTTGGATATTTATACCAGCCAGGATGTTCTGGGAGTACTTGCGAGGCGGGTGATGGGAGATATTGCATAGGAGAGTTTGAATGTGCTTGATAAGAGGGAGAGTGGCTGGGATCGTAGTTATTGCTGTAAGGCACAGTAGCGTTGCGAGCTTGCCTTATATAGGAATCGTCGGGGAATTGAGAAGCGGACTCGCTTGTATGTTGTCGATAGTGTTCGGGCAGCTTACGCCTAAGCTTAGAATTGCGCTGGGGAGACTTGTTCTGCTTCGATTGTTCATCACTCGCAGAATCACTCCAATCTTCATCCTGGTCCTGTAGAGGGCCTAACCGACGATGCTGATTTTCTGAGTCATACATAGATGGCCGCGCTGTTGACGCCATATTGAATGTAAGCGTCACCTTGTGGGTATAAAAGAGTAGGAAGGAAGATGTAACGGATCGTGAGTGCAATTGGGAAACTTAGTTAATTATAGAGCCGCTAGTCATCTTGGCCTTATTAGTCGGCAATTGATCAAGTTAATTCCGATGAGGCTCTGCTCAAGTTGCCTCTTTCTTACCAGTTCGCAAAAGACTGACGTGGCCCAAAAAGACGCCTTACCGTTTTGATATGATTGCATTTGGGCTTTTCAAGTAGGTTCAGCCACGGACGCAGCATTCTGATTGCTCAAAGCCTTGTAACTTTGCAGACTTGCAGTGTGAGGTGGTGTAGTCTTCAAAAATCTCATTGGCGGCTTTCGGCGGCTTATTGGCCTCATGGTTGCAACTGAAATGCAAAGGTGTCCATGGCAAACACCGAGCCTGATTTCGGGAGAGATTAATAAATCTGTGTCATCTCTATCACCAATTGATATTTTTCAATGGTCTAATCTTGATATTGAAGGTTATCTATCGAAATCTCAGAATCGAATGAAATGAGAAGGGTCATCGTGCGACTTTGTGCAAGATTTTGTGATACTGGTGTACGCCAGAATACCCTCGTGGCGGGCCTCAGGATGGTGCTACCTTCCAAGAGTTCAGAGTGGGAAGATTGCTGACCACCATATATGCATGGCGTGTACTCACCGGTCATTGCACCGCCCGAAAGACGCATGTGCATGAGTTACATTGCAGCCAAGCTCACAATATAATATTAGGACAATCCGCATGTAAACACAAGAGGGGCTGTGTTCATCAGTCCCTTCTGAATCTTATAGCTTCTTGCCAGAATAAGACCATTGCTCCTTCTTACCTTTTCGACAATTCTATATTTACACTAACTATACAATGGATCCTCTTAGTATTATCGCGGGAATCATCGCTATTGTTGACTCCATTTTGTCAACTTACAGTGCTATCCGTGAAATCAAAGGATTGCCTAAGGCTTTTGAAGAGGTTGAGCGAAATCTTCCTCTTGTCAAGGAGACACTCCAAATCGCGGAACAACAACTCCACAACAACTCTCCAAGCGATGCTGAAAAGCGCGCCATTGAACCAATCATCATAGCCTGTGAGAGCAAGCTCAAAGAGCTCCACAAAGTCTTGACCAAAATTCAGAAGCAAAAAAAAGAAGGCAATGGCGAGATCAAAGACTGGTCATCACTGGCAAAGTTGTATCAGAAAGTGGTTGTTCCGATGGGGAAAGCCCATAGGGTTGAGTCATTGATGAGCGCTATGATTGGCAGCCTGAAGGCTCTTGCGATCCATCAGATGTTCAAGGCAGCAACTCAGCCGCAGGTTGGCAAACTTGAGGAGGCTATCAAAAAGCTTTCACAAGTTGAGCCCTCTATCCCAGACTCTGATTTTGAATCAGGTCGGAGCACTGTCAACCAGACAAATAACGATCGTTCAAATGGGTTCCTTTGCACTGAGGGCACTATGCACAACGTTGTTGGGGGCAATGTTTGGAAGGCAGACCATAATATGAATTTCGGTATGGACATGTCACAAATATTCAGCCAGCAGTAGGGCGCTGATGTTTCCCACAGCATATCACATCCATCAATCTACTACTAGCTGTTAGTTACTTCAATACCTGCAGCTACCGTGTTCTAATTGCTTTTCAAAGCCAGTGATACATGTCCCACCATTCCACAATGGCTCGAGTCGATAACGACTCCCCTTCATTTCGAAGAGAAGCTACATGAGCTGTTGAGGATTGCCCAAAGGTCCCGAGGGTCAGGCAACTGGTTTTTGAAGTTGCCTGCACTTTCTGATTGGATAGATGGAGATTTGCAGAAGCTATTGGCTTATGGACACGGTAAGTGGTGGTTCGAGGTCGAAATGGCTTATGTATTGCTCACAAGGGACAGCCGGCGCAGGCAAGTCAGTCCTTGCGTATGTATAACAATGCCTTGTGCGTAGAAAAGATTCGGAGTTAACAGTCAATAACAGCTCCATTGTCATCCATCATCTTCAGAATCTTCATAATCGGCTCTATGGCGACCACAATGTGGCTTGTCTTTACGTCTACTTTGACTATAAGAAGCAAAAGGCACAAACATTGATAAACATACTATCGAGTCTCCTCGTACAGCTTTTGCGCTGTTCACGCAAAGTGTCACATGAGGTCCGATGTCAATTCGATGAATGGAGGCAAAAGAAAACTTTTCTAGGAGATGGCGAGTACGTTGATATGATCACTTGTCAGGCTATGGAATTCCGACGCATTTACATCGTAGTTGATGCACTTGACCAATGTTGCAGCGACACGAGTAACAACACCCTCAGTGAGTTTCTCGACATTTGCTGCAAGCTGCCACGCACATTTCACAGTCTTTTTACCACAAGGACAGACTTACACTCTCAGTTTCTTCGACCGGACTATGAACTTGAGATAACAGCACACCCGGACGACATATCGGCGTACCTAGATAACTTCATTGATAGTCGCCAGGTGATGAGATCCATTGTCAATGAAGGTCATTCTCGCAACCACTCATTCCACGAGCACCTTCTCAACAGCATTATTAGTAGATCAGATGGGTTGTGAGTTTCCTAGTTCATGAGACGCTATCCATACTAATATGTCAGATTCCTCCTCGCTCATCTTCATCTAGCAAATCTAGCATCTACAAATACACTCGAGGAGTTTGAGTACACTTTGGAAAACCTTTCGGGCGATTTGACGCAAGTATACAAAGCAGCATTAGAACGGATCGAAATACAGGAGGACAAACAACGTAACACAGCCATTATGTTGCTCTCATGGATCACTTTTGCAAAACGACCACTGACAATAGCGGAGGCCACACAGGCACTGTACATCCAGAATGCTTCGCGAGAGCTTAGTATGTCTGGATATGTTATACCCAAGGTCACATTGAATGCCGAGGCGGAATGGACTCTGACATCAGTCTGTGCAGGTATGGTCGTTGGAGTCGTTGAGAAGAAGACAACTTTCCTCCATTTCGCGCATAAGTCGGCAAGAAAGTTTCTGAAGAAGCACTTGCTGGTTGAATGTCGAGATGCCTATTCGGTCATGACCGAAGTATGTCTGCGCTGTCTGATCGACACACCTGTCAAACCACCAAAAGAAAAGACAACAGCCCAGAATACCTCGGAGCATTTCACCAAGAACTATCCATTTTTTCATTATGCCGCGAATAACTGGGGCCTTCATATGGCGGATAAGGTGAAGGGCCCCGTTTACCAGCTTGCATGGAAATTCCTCTCCGAGCATGAGAATAAGCAAAAGTTAAATCGTGCAGTATCGGTCATGGAGGATACCAACATCTCTCGGGCAGAACAGTTTACAGGGCTACACATTGCTGCATACTTTGGGTTGACTAGTTTGGTCCAGAAAGCCGTAGGTCTTCAAAAACCCCTCGATATCAATTCTCGCACGAAGCGGAACGAAACTCCTTTGCATTGGGCCGTTTCTCGTGGCCATCGCGAGTTTTCCGAGCTTCTGATATCGCAAAAAGCGGACCTGAAGGTACAAAATGACGATAAAATGACACCGTTGCATATCGCAATTGACAAGGATGATTCCGACATGATATATCTGCTTCTCTCAGACAGCTGCGCCGAACTTGAACTGGCAGACATCAAAGGATATACGCCCCTTATTGCAGCGGTCAAAAAAGGAAACGCTAAATTAGTGCAAAAGCTTTTGCGTTTGGGCGCCAAAGCTGAATCTGAAGATGGTCATGGCTGGACTGCAATGCGCTGGGCAGCACAATTGGGTTATAAAATGATCATCGAAACCCTGGTCCGCTACAAGGCATCAGTGTCGTCTCCGACGAAAGATGGTTGGACATTACTCTGGTGGGCGGCTTCTGAAGGACGTTCCGACATCATTACTCTTTTAAAAGGGATAAACATAAACCTGGACGAACCTGATAAAGAGGGGAAAACCGCTCTGCAGTGGGCCGTCCGATATCAATGCTCCATGGCGACATGGGTTCTGCTCCAAGCAAAGGTCAATGTTAACAAGCGAGACGACACTGGTATGACGGCTCTACACGTCGCAGCAGAAACATTTCACCTGTCAGTCAAAGGCAACGATGTTCTATGGCTCTTATTGGCCAATGGTGCAAAGGTCAATACTCAGACAAAGACATTCGGTCAGACGCCACTACACATAGCGGCATCAAAAGGGAGTGAGTCCGCAATATGGCTACTTCTTAGCAAAGGAGCAGATACGACCAAACTAGATGTCAACCGTCGTACTGCACTGCATTGCGCTGTAGCCGGAGACCATATCCAAGCAGCGCAGCTTTTGCTCTGGAAATCAGCCGATCTCATCAACGCGGCAGACCACGAGAAGCGCACTGTACTTCACTATGCAGCTTCTCAAGGAAACGCGGCCCTTGTTGAAATGCTTATCAATTCGGATGCCGATATCAATGCTCGTGACCGCAGTGGACAGACGGCACTGCACATTGCCGTGCTACAGTCGCATGATGATATTGCTGCTTTCTTGATCAGAAAAGATGCGAATTTGGAAATAATCTGCAAAATAAATCGAAAGAGGATGAGCTTGGATGATTTGGTGCTTTCTATGAACAATACGGCCATCATGGGTGCGATTGATGAGGTCAGACAGAGTCGCTCCTCATACGAAGCGTAGAGAAATTGTCGCCCAGCCGCGCATTGATTGGTTCTGGGCTTCATGCCAGAAGCATGATCGCCCTTTGGCAAGTTCGATCAATTGAGTAATTTGAATGACCATATTCTTACACCTAATGATTCATAGTCCATTTTGTTAAAACAGCTTTGTGTAGCAGTTTGGCCAAGCACGTGATACTGTTGCCTGATTCGCGTCTTACATGTCCAAACTAGCGCGAAACAATATCTTCCATCATACTATCAATCATCATGAAAAAGATCGCCATGGCTCGCCTCAAAGATATCCCGAATGAGATCCTCATAAGCATCTTCAAACATCTCTCTGACATCAACCACTCCAGCATCTTCGACGTCGCTCTCGTCAACAAGCATTTCAATCAGCTCGCCAGTCCTCTACGCGTCCGTCACTGGAGTGATGAAGGACACTACGGCTACTACGACGGCGAATCGCCATGTCCACCAATCTCAAGATTAGCGCTCGAACTCTTGCGCCACCCTGAATACCGTCTACAAGTCAAGACTCTATCGTTTTCGTGGTTTCAAAGAGGTCATGACCGCGACGCGGCACGCGTTCCCATGAAACTTGAAAACCTCCAGATGCTTGCTTGGGCAGCCGAAGAAGTTGTTCCGACACTAGCGGAGTCTACATATCTATATTATCGGATCCTTGAGGATTGCGACGACGCTATTGCTGTTCTTGTCCTGGCTTGGGCGACCAATCTGACAAGCCTCAGCGTGACGATTCCTTGCTTTGATGTGAATCCTGGTTACGATGAAGGCACGCTTGTTCTGCGCTTTGTTAAACAACTGGCTCTTCGCTTTGACAGCGATGATCTCAAACCGAACGCACCGCTACCACTGGCGAAGCTTGAAGAACTCGAGTTTCGACACGATAACATCGAAAGCATTGTTGGGCTCAAGTACCTGACACCGTTTCTCCATCTCCCTAATCTTAAGAACCTCAAAACGTATAGGCTTGGTGATCAAGAGTACAACGATATTGAGGAAAGCGTTCAGAACTATATCAGAGACAAATACTGCATGCCGTTCCCAAAGGGTACCTCATCGATTGAGTCCATGACTATCAAAGAGTCGACGTTGTCAAGTGATGGACTTTCAGATCTTCTTGGATCTTGCAACAGCTTGAGATATTTCTACCTCCACTTCTCATTCGACCTCGAAGAGAGTAAGCGGAACTGGACAACACTAGCTAAGAGCCTTGTTAATCATGAAGAATCTCTGGAGGACTTGGATCTATGTGTTGATAACTGTGATGTTGAGTGGGTAGGAGATACTGTTGACGATGGGGCAGGCGATCCGAAGCCCATCGATTTCACAGATTGCTACCACCATCTCACTGGTCTCAGAACCCTTAGGGTTCCTATGCCTCAACTATCTGGCTACGATCTATGGAAGCATTCAGGATCTCCAAAGGCTAGTCATGTGCGCTTACCGGAATCTCTCCAGCATCTCAAACTCTTAGACATCAACTTGTGGTCTAACGCCCGACGCCTTTCCGAACATGAAATCTCACCCTTCTTGGATTTTGTTCTTAATCTCATCAAGGAGACAGGACCAGAGGGGCATTTAAGAAATCTTCAGACACTTGATTGTTCCAAAGCACTTTGGGACGACCCGATGAGAAAAAAGATACAAGAAATTAAGGATCTGGCGGAAGAACGTGGGGTTAATATTCTCCTTCACTCATAAACAACTGATATGTATGGGCAGGCGATTTGTGCATGGGTGAAAGTAAATCACGTATCAGGTTCATTATATAATCTTTTATAGATCTTAGAAGCTGAGGACCAAGTCCTTCAACTTCTGGAAGTTGGGAGTTCCGTAACCAGTAGTAGGATCCCATCCAGCTGTAGCGTTCCAACGAGCACCAGGAACAAGACCAGATCCAGCGGGCTCAGGTTGTCCAGACTGGGTGTTGTTGCCATCACATCCAATAGCATAGCCACCAGTGATGTCAGTCAAAACCTTGGGTCCATGCTTGTAGATAAGAGGGTTCAACCAGCCCAAGCTCTTCTTACCAGCCTTGAAGCGAGCATCGTTCAACAGACCAACGATAGCAGCCCAGACGGGAGCAGCAGCACTGGTGCCTCCACTTCGAGCCTGTTTACCATTGTAGATAACCTCGTAGTCAGGAGCAACACTGTGTCCAGCGACATCAGGGAAACCTCGGCCCTCCCAGTTGGTGTAAGGACCGTAGTACTTCTTGGTCTCCTTGGAGACAGTCTTCAAGTACTTCTTGATCGCCTTGTCCTGGTAGCTGGGTCGGGGGAAGTACTTGCTGAAACCACCGGAAGATCCCTCCCAGGCGATCTCGGGGGTGACATCGACGGTGCCGCCAACGGAGGTGAGGTAGGGGCATGTGGCGGGGAAAATGGCGTTGAACTCGACGGTCTTGTAGTCAGGAGCAAGGCAACCGGAACCGACACCGATGTCACCAGAGGAGAAGATGACGCTGATACCTCGTAGGCCGAGAAGGCCGATCATGTTGCAGGTGAGTGTAGCATACTCACGAGGGACGCTCTGTTGCAGAGTTAGATGGTTCTTGTAACAAGAACGATATGATCGAACTTACGTCTTCTTCATCACCGTAAGAAGTGGAGATGACAGCAGGGAGATCCTTCTGGCCCAAGAGGTAACGGAAGAAAGGCACATAGGGCTCGTTCTGGTTATCCTTCTCGGTAGGCTGATCGATGTTGGGAACGAAGGGTCTGTGTATATTAGTAACTCTTGGCCTGATATAGGATCAATGAAACTTACGGTGAACCTCCAGTAATGTACTGCTTGAAAGGAAGAGGATGAGCAATTCCAACAATGTTCTCGGCATCGAGGTTAGCTTCTCCGTAGTTTTTATGCGCAGTGTTCTGATCATCAGTGCCATTGTTGATCAAAATAGTGGTGTAGTTCTGCTTAGGAATGCCAAACAGCTCCTCAAACTTGAAGACATCGGAGTAAATAGCAGCCTGGCCGAGAAAGCTGCTGAAACCGATCTCGCTTCCAGACTTGGCATCGGGAGTGTAGTCGCCAATGTTGTACATCTGCTTGAGACAAGAAGGGGTGATGCTTGTTTGGCAAGACGCATCAACAGTGCTCTTGGAGGGGGAGACCTTGCGCTCTTGGAGAGTGCGCGATGGGTGAGGCACGGGGTTGAAGGCAACGGTGCCACCAAAGTTTGTGCTAGGATCAACGAACTGAACGTGATCGGCTACATCATCAGGAATGGAGTAAGACAGCGTTCTCAGCTTAGTCTGACCATCCTTGGTGTAGTACTGGTAATCACCTCCAAGAAGCGTGTTGGCCTTCTCAACATCAGCAGCAAAGTCAATGAAAGCACCGTTGACCTTGTAGTGCTTGATGCCCTTTGACTTGAGCCACTTGGTTACACTAGCAACAGCCTCCTTGGAAGGAGAGAAAGTGCTGGTGAGCTCATCGTGGGACAGCCAGTTGCCGTAGTTGGCGCTGTCGGGGCTGGAGAGGTCAAGAAGCTTCGATTCGAGCTGGTCCACGTTTTGCATGGTTAGTGCAAGACTGAAGACGTGCTGCGTATTGGAAGCGACTTTGGCGGTTTTCTGAACCTGCCAGCCCTGAGGAGCTTCGGCATGGTGAGAGAAGGATTTGCCAAATGCTGAAGGGAGCGCCGATAAGGCGAGGACCAGGTTTTGGGAGGAGATATACATGGTGGCGTGGGGCACCTAGCAGAACAAAAGAATGACTTGACAAGACCAGAAACTGGATGACAGACAAAACCTCTGATCTCTGTGAATTTGGCTCATTTATCTATATTGTCACCTCTTATCACTTATCACGGATTGTCAAGTTCAGGCACCTCTGGATAACACGGCAAAGAAATGGAGAGGACGATTCACAAAAGGACTCAGTGTTGGACAAAAGGCCTCCGGGGTTCTTGGCGCCGAGCTTCTCGATTGGGGGCATTTTCCGTATGCCGTATGCAGATCATGATGCGATTAGTCCGATATGGGAAGTTACTCAGGGGCGCTCTGTGGGGTCACGCACGGATAACGGCATTCGCTATCTTATCTGTGAGGGAATGTTTGTGTTGGTTCTGGTACCTTTTTTGATGGACTTTTTGTTGGATGAATCACGCGATCTGGAGGACAAAAGTGCGTTGCGGAATGGGACGGGGATGGAAGGTTACACGGATGTAAATACGGAAATGGTGAGATTGAGTTCGAGGTTATTAGGTATTGAGTTTACGGAATTAGTCATGCATCACACAGGGCACATGCCAAGCGAGTCGGCGGGAAGGATTGCTTCTGGAATAATGCCGTTGATGGGTCTACTGGGAATAGTCGGGTATAGAAGGCTTTGGAAGTACGACGCGTTGATCCGTGAATCCTTGGCACTTATCGCAAATGATGTTGGTGCTCGCGTGGCAATTACTTCAGAGCTTTGCCCATCAAAACAACACGATGATCAGCGCTTATGACTTTCTGTGTAATATAGATCTGTAAAAATAAATTCTATTACTTACTACCTTTGGATTGAAATGTCGAGTGATTTTCTGTCGAGATATAGACATTGAATCATTTATAACCCATTGCTCTAGGTTATCCAACTTCACTTACCGGTCGTACACATCGTGCACCCTAACCCTTCACATTAAGTTTGATCAAATCTCCCACCTCGCCAATCACATCACTCGTTTTCGATAGCGGTCAAAATGGCAATCAACATATCAGCATCCAATCTCAACCACTCAACCCCTTTCGCCGTGGCACAATGAACACCAGCGAGACTGCCGCAGCCAATCCAGGCGCAGCGACAGAGACGACAACCTACTTCAAAGTCCTCAGCCTCGTCATTCTCCCCTTCATCGTGACATACGTCTTCACGTCCTTCGGCAATAATGGCTATCAGCATGGTCAAAGCGCACGAGAGCCCCCGAGGGTTCCGTACTGGATCCCGTACGTAGGAAATACAATTAGCTTCGCTTTCGACACTGAGCGCTTCTTATCGTCTATCCTGTGAGTTCTCCCGGGCCGATAAGTCTGTTTCCTCCACTGATCTCCGGGCCCAGATCCAAATTCGGCAAAGTCCCGCTTCGCATCTTTGTGGGCGCTGAGCCTATGTACTTTATTCCTCACGGCCAGCCTATCATTGAGCTCTTCAAGGCGTCGCGACACTTGACTACCAAGTCCCTTGGTGTCATGACGGTTCGAGATGCTTTTGGCTTGCCAGAGTGTGATATGCCAATCTACGTCGATGATGATTCTAAATATGGACATGTTGATCCATTGAAGAGATTTGACTTTGTTCACCATCGTGATTTGCATGCTCTTTTGACAGGAGGGCCACTGAACTCCATGACTGCAAAATTTGTCGAGGTCTACTCTGACATGATTGAGAAAGATACCAGTTTCAGTGAGGGCGAGTGGACCGAGGTCGATGATCTCTACGAGTGGCTTAAGAACAATCTTTTCCGCGCTGCAATAACTGCACTATGTGGTGATAAGTTCCTCGAACTCTCGCCGACTTTCATTGAGGACTTTTGGGTTTTTGACTATCAGCTTCCCGATCTTTTCAGGCGGATGCCTCGATGGCTTGTTCCGAAGAGTTATGCGGCCAGAGACAAGTGTCTCGAGAGCATGCTGCGGTACCATGAGTATGGAAACAAGCTATTTGACTTTACTGATGAAGACGGTGTCATCAGGGAGGAATGGACATCGGAGTTTGGTACGAAGTTGATGAGTGCTAGACAGAAGATGTTTCAGAGCGTTGGGATGACTCCGCGAGGTGGTGCTGCTCTTGACCTTGGGCTCATGTGGGCGTAAGTCGAGTAACTACTAACGTAGACTATGTGCTTCACTAATGACTCGCAGGGTAAATGCTAATGCCATTCCCGCTGGCATGTGGATCCTACTCGATATCTTACTCGATAAGGACCTGAAGGACAGAGTAATGGCCGAGATGCAGCCTTCATTCATCGATAAGTCCCTCTCTTTCGATATCGAAAAGCTCTGCTCCGGTCCCCTGATCAACTCCATCTACCTCGAGACGCTGCGTCTTCGCGTCGCTTCACCCGTTGGACGAACACCCATCATCCCCAATCTCAAATTCGGAAAGTGGCAGTTCAAGCAGGGCGTTGGTATGCTATCCTCATCCTGGGTTGGCGGCCATGATCCCGACTTCTGGAACATTGGACATGTAAAGCCTGGCGGAATCGAAGAACATCCCGTTGAGTCATTCTGGGCAGAAAGATTTCTGGTCTACCCGAATGACCCGACCAGCGGTCCAGTTCGACCAGCCACTTCTGCAGACAAGCCTACAAAGCGTTCCTCAGGGGATGATCGCAAAGCACGGTCTACTCTTGATGGAACGCAGGGATATTGGTATCCTTACGGAGGCGGGACAAGAATGTGCCCTGGTCGATTCTTCGCCAAGCAGGAACTCATAGCTGCAGCGGCAGTTGTTCTGCGTGCATTTGACATTGAACTTGTTGACACCGAAGCGGCGAGTAAGGTTAGGCCGAACATGGATTACTTTCCGTTTGGAACTATTCCGCCCAAGGGCAAGGTCGCTGTTCGGATGAGGAGGCGGAAGGTCTGATATGGTTGAGCTTGGTTTTCGATTTAACGTTTCTTTAACATTAGTCAGAGGATTGAGCTAGTAATCAACACATGAGCGTATTTGTAATTTGTGGGTTGTGATCTACTATGATTTAATGATGACAGTATCGCACGAGTATAACCGCATTATGATGTGTTCAGCTCCACTGTAAATTGTGACATGGAGGGTCATGAAAACCAATATATATCACTGCTCTGGCTGTCACAATCTATGTATACTGGAATTACAGTTTATTCATTCAGACTCGCAAGTTACCACCGACCATTCTTGTCTTATTTGAACCGCAACATGGCTACTATGAAAGCTGTCGGAGTTTCGAAGTACGGTCCGGTGGATAACCTCGAATCGCGAGTTGTCCCAAAGCCTGGTGATCCTAATGGCCGACAGGTCATCGTGAAGTTTGTTCCCCAATTTATTTTTCACTTAGAGACACAAGTACTGATGCTCTTCAGAGTCAAAGCTTGTTCCGTCAACCCAATTGATCACAAGGTTCGATCAGGAACCTATGACGATGCGCCGGGTAATCCCACCACCTCCGACTATCGGAGCAAGACTGACGAATTGATAGATTACTATGAGCACGTCCCAAAGGACTTTCACATCATCGGCTTTGACGGCGCCGGTATAATCGAGAAAACCGGGCCTGACTGCCAGCTCTTCAAAGTTGGCGACGAAGTCTCTTGGGTAGGCCCAACGACTGAACAGGGAACTTATGCGGAGTATCAGCTCGTGAACGAACTAGCTTGCGCCAAAAAGCTAAAGAATCTCGATTTTGTCGATACAGCGAGCTATGGGTTGACTTTCATGACAGCATATCAGTCACTGTATCGAAGGATGGAGGTCAAGCCTGAAGAACAGACAGCTATCTTGATCGTAAGTTCGGAGCAGCCTTTGACATTGCAATGTTGAACTGACACTATTAATTTAAGATAAACGGAGGAGGTGGCGTTGGAAGTGCTGCTATTCAGCTTGCGAGGAGAGTTCTTAAGCTTCCGGTCGTTGTAGCCACGGCATCGCGACCTGAGACGATCGACTCGTGCAAGCGAATGGGCGCTACTCATGTCATAAATCATCGAGAGAACCTTGTGAAACAGATTGAAGATTTAAAGCTCAATATCCCGATCAAGTAAGCACCCATTGTCGGCTCAACCACATCACTCACTGACAGACATAGGTATATCTACATAGTCGCCCGAACCGAGCAATACACCAATTCCATCGCTAAGATCTGTGCGCCCTTTGGAAAGGTCTGTACCATCGTACAAGCGGACGTGAGCCTATACGGAACAGAGTTTATGTCCAAGTCACTGACATTCTCGTGGGATTGGGTTGGTTCTGCTGCATATCATGGCACAGGCGTTGAAGATTATCATGAGATGCTAGCAACGATTTCCAGTCTGATGGAGGAGGGTACATTGTCCTCTACAGCTGGAACTCGTCTTAGGTTGACACTTGAGGGCTTGAAGGAAGCGCATAGGAGGGTGGAAAGTAGTAGTACTGTTGGAAAGATTGCGCTTGGTGTTGATGAGCCTGGGGAGGGTGAGCCTTTCGCTTAGCTAGCATCTTTGATGACTTGGTCAACTATTGGATTTCATTTTAGTCACTTAAGGTAACCCTGATTTGCTATGGAAGTACTTCTAGAATACTCAATATAGGTTTTAAGGCGGTTGGAAAACAGTTGGAGATCTGCCCATGCTGCATGCTGCTGATTAAGGGGACTCCCGAGCCAGGCGAGCATTATATCAGTCTTGCGGTCTGCCTCTTCAAGGTCATGGTTGAGGATCAACTTCTCAGCAAATCTACCGAGATAGGACATACCAGCTGCACCCATAGTATCCACATCTATCTCTGGGACCAACTCTTTAGTCATTTTCCCTGTGATACCCATATGTTCTAATAACAGAATATAGTGACAGTTGAGTCTTTCGACCATGTGATCACTAATACTGAGGGTTTTTAAGTTATCCAAAGCTGCCCTCAGTATGATTGCAATAACCTCATGTCTGTCCTTTTCTGATAGACGAATAAGGCGATGGAGGAGTAAGAATAAGGGATGACCCTCTCCAAACACGACAAATAGTGTATCGTGTATATGCCGGAGTAATTCGAATGTCAATGCTTTATATCGCAGATCAAAAGCGACGATAATATCGCACAGAAAGAAAAGAAGAGTAGCTTCTTGATCCTCTATGATAGACCTAAGATAATTGAGGGACTTGTTGAGAGCCTGGAAGCCTGGCTTCATGTTGTTGGCTATGATCAAGGTGCGGGCTTGAGCTAGGCTTGTGTAGCAGTAAATAGTGGTAGAATAGTCGCCAGCGTGACCAGGGTGAGATCTCTTTGCGATATCATGGTGGTCTGAGTGATAGTAGCCGCGGAGAAGTCGAAGCAGCTCGTCTGTGGATTGATGAACACTGGAAGCGTGGAGAATGGGATCTGGCGACGGCGAGCGACAGACTATGTTTGAATTTGAGGTACTAGTTGTGAGCATTCCGAGTTTGATCTTCATCTCGAGGTCCGGCCTGCGGCGTAGATATCTTTCGATATCTCCCCAATCGACTCGTCTACCTTGTAGAAAGAAGACAGATTGCTTTCCGGCAATATCTCGCTGTCGTTTGAGTAGAGACATGTGAACGACTTCCTTCTCTTTATATTTCTTCCATAAACCCCACTTTTGAAGGCGATACTTATACATCCTCGGTCTATCTATTGCTTAGTATCTACGCATTAGGGTTGTCTCTAAATGACCACTTACGTTGCATGGAAATTATGTCTCAGCCGCATTATCTCCACTATTTCTTTAAGTGGCCTCGCCTCATCCGAGTAGAGCCTCGTGATTTGGTGCCGCAGATGATCCCACTCGTCGGCGTTGCTCGCATTGGGAGCCATGATCTCCGGGCTGCGGTGCTGCACATGGGTGGGAGACGAGTGCATGGTGCTCAACAAAGAAAGATGTGCAAAGCCGTGCTCGGTCTAAGCCGGTGAGTCTGGTATGACTGGTCTACAGAAGAGCAGGTCCAATAGTTGTGTGGAGGAAGGAAGTGGTTCAAGATTTGGTTACAGAAAGCGTTCTTTTTAGATCATGGGATTGGCGGAGGACAAAAGAACAAAACTATGCGGACCTCTTCACATGCCAGTACGCTTGGCAGCTTAGACTGCTAGTTGTGATTGGCTGAGAACAAAAGGACAAGCCTGTGGATCCCGTTCCAGGCTAACTCCGTCCGGCTAATACGAGGTAGGTGCGTGCCTCAGGCACTTTCAACACTGAATCACAGTTTACTAGGATTTGAATGAGCCGACAGCCCTTCTGGTTAACAAGCTAGAACAGATGTCAATTGTTAGGCAAGGACAACTGTCCAACGTGTGCTATAACAACACCATACTGCGATCTGAAAACGGCCTCTCTCTGCTCCACGTTATGTGCTTCTAAGAGAAGATCTGATATCCTTTTACTATGTAGCCTTCCAAAGATCGAACCCAGTTCAAGCCACCGGTCGCTTTACCGTCCTTTGATATAGTAATCCTACTCTAGTATAGAGCTTACTTATGTTCCCAACCTTAGGTAAACGCTGCCTGATCTGCTTGCTTCCTTACTAATCTAGATTAAACATTATGATTAAGCATCGAGCTTCAGGTTAAGACATTCATTCCCGACTTGGCTTCTCTTTCTTCTAGTTCAACTTTTTAATCTTATATTCCATCGTCTATCAGGACCGGCGCCCCATCTCGCTACTGGGGTATGCCTCAAGTCCTGCTCTTCTGGTACCTTCAACCTGGGACTCCAACATCACGCCACCGCCGCGAACCATCTTAATTGTATCTCTACTCAACTTCCTGGGTATCTACCTTGCGGGCCAGGATAAGTCTCAGTGTATTAGACCCATTCCGCACTATGGACTGAGCCTTGCGGCATAGTCCATCATGGTTGGTGGGTTAATTTAAGTTTGAAACATTCCAAGACAACCCACGCTGTTGACCTAGAGGAAAGCGGCAGACGGGCCACTGGGGAAGCCTATGAATGTTTACACAGATACATCGGGTAAGTTTTGAGACTTTAGGTCGATTTAAGGGCTTTCTTATATTCACTGATCAACTTGTCATTGACTCTCCTCGCCATTCCTTTCTCGATTTAATTCTCTCGTTCTAACTTGACTTTCGGTCCCTTCCTGTCGTTAACTTCTTTCCTGCATCCCTGATTAATTGACCTTGTCATGGTTCACCCTGCATTCGTCACTGGAGCAGTGCTCCTTTTCTTCACCTCTCTTGCGACTGCCAAGCCCGTTAGCATCGCAAGTTCGATTGCTTCTGGAACTCTCATTCCTGGCTTCCCTCATCGTGAGTTTGCATCCCAACCTGCCATAAAGCAGCATACCTTCACAATCCTTTCTAACAGAGTTGAAAGATGGGGGTAAATTCTGGAATCGCGCCACACCAGTGACAGCTCTTTCCACAACCGTGGCTGTCGAGGCTGCCGAATCTACCGAAGACGAAGCATGTGACGAGTCTGAAGAGATCGTCACTGAGACTACTGAGGATAGTTGTGATCTTGTCGAGGAAACTGACACCACGCTTTCCCCGGCGGTCTCCACGACTGCACCTGTCGAACACAACTTCGAGCCGACGTCCGCGACGCCTTTGTTTGTATCTGTTTCGCCCACTGACGCTGTGTCAACCGCTGTGTCATCCCCAGGAAGCGGAAGCTCTGATGGTTGCGGCAAGCAGTCTTCTCTGACTAGTGGTACCTATAGCGTCACTGTCAATGGCCGCACTCGCTCATATATCCTTGATGTTCCTAAGAGTTACAATAGCAGCAAGGGATACAAGCTCATCTTTGGTCTTCACTGGCGTGGAGGTACCATGGAAGATGTGGCGACGGGTCAGACTGTCGAGGCCGGTGTCTGGAACTACTACGGTCTGAAGCGCCTAGCTGAAGACAGTGCCATCTTTGTTGCACCGCAGGGAATCGATAACGGCTGGGGTAACAGCAACGGAGACGACGTCAAGTTCATTGATGCCATAATGGAGCACGTTGAAGCAGATCTCTGTGTTGACCAGTCCCAACGCTTCGCGACGGGCTTCAGTTTCGGGGGCGCCATGACATACTCGTTGGCATGCTCCCGAGCCGACAAGCTTCGCGCAGTTGCCGTCCTCTCGGGCGCCCAACTCAGTGGCTGCGAAGGTGGCAACGATCCTGTCCCGTACCTTGGAATCCACGGTGTTGATGACGATATTTTGAGTATCTCGATGGGCCATTCCCTGCGGGATAAGCTCGTTTTGAACAATGGCTGCCAGGCCCAGTCAGCGCCGGAGCCAAGCTCTGGAAGCTTGACTCACACAAAGACCACTTACACCTGTAATTCGGGATATCCGGTGACATGGATTGCATTTGATGGCGGGCACATTGCATCCCCCCAGGATGGGGCCACGACTGATAGTGGATTGAGAACATGGGCTCCTGGAGAGACATGGGAATTCTTCTCTCAGTTTTCGTAAACTTGGTGGCACATATCTGGGTCGAGAGAGTTGGGTCAATGCCCATGGCCGTTTGTAGATGCACTACTAGGCTCACCCGCTCTCACCTCACCTAATAGATAGCCACAAAGAGAGGAAACATGTGTGGAGAAACAAACGACTGTGGTGGCGGCGCCGCCATTGTGTTTCGAATAATTTATAACTTTCTTCTGTATCAATTTATTTACAACATCCTATTATTAGCAATAAGGTAACAAGTAAATCTGATTCTTTGAACTAGTGAATATTTGTATCAACTTCATTTGGTTTGCCAGAACTACCTGCCAAATCTTGTAGACATGGATTCTTCCAGCGGCGCTCATCCAACCAGAATAAGCCCTGGTCAGTTTATCTCATATCCATTCACAGTTAAAACAGGCAAATAACTTTAGTTCTTGGCAGTTTCAAGTGCCTCGGGAGTACTCTTCCAAAGGTACTTTGTGGTCAGTTTGTTCCCCTCAAGTACACTCCTGCAATCGCACTAAGTCGAAAGGGAATTCGGCTAGAGCTCATCCTGTAACATTCCCCCGTTATCCATTCGATTAATTCTTCCAGCAATTACGTGATAGAGATCTTTCCTGGAGAGGGATAGTCTCGTTGACTGTCGAAGTGTTGTCTTTAGTAATATTTTCACTCCACCACGCCCCAGCAGTGATTGTCAGTTGAGAGGAATATAAAAGGGCCATGTATGATCGTTCTTGATGTTTTTCAGTTCCATTCCTTACAGCTCAACAAGAAATTGGCTTCGGTGTCTTGTCTTATTCTCTCTTTAATCATTCTCTTTTCTTTCTCTTCCCTTCGTTCAAGCTAGACTTGACACTTTTACTCTCGTTACCTACAACAAAATGAAGATCTCACTCGCTTCTCTAGCGGCCATGGTGCCCTTCGCCTCCGCTCACTACTTCTTCGATGTTCTCGTTATCGACGGCAAGGAGACGAACAGCATGCAATACGTCCGCTCCAACACCCGCGATGCAAAGTACAACCCAACGAAATGGGACAACATCCGTGACGATATGACTCCCGACAAGCTCGACTTCCGCTGCAACAAAGGCGCATTCACATTCGCCGGCCAGACCGGAACCGCCGAGGTCAAGGCTGGGTCTAAGCTCGCAATGAAACTCGCCGTTGGTGCCACAATGCAGCATCCAGGCCCTGCCCTCGTCTACATGTCCAAGGCTCCGACCACGGCGGACACGTATGAGGGTGATGGGGAGTGGTTCAAGATCTTCGAGGAAAGCGTGTGCAACAAGGAAGGAGATTTCACACGTGACGCTTGGTGCACCTGGGACAAGGACCGCATCGAGTTCACCATTCCCGCTGACCTTCCTGATGGAGAGTATCTCATTCGTCCCGAGCACATCGGTATGTTCTATTGCGTTCCATCCGCGGCCCGTCCAGGATATGCATATTGACTTGTCTTTCAGGTGTCCACGGTGCCCATGTCGGCCAGGCAGAGTTTTACTACACGTAAGTCTAATCCTCTTCATATCTTTCCATCCCCACCAGTTCATCGAAGAACATACATAGTCTAACGTCTTCTAGCTGCGCTCAAGTCAAAGTCACTGGCGGTGGCAGCGGTGTTCCCGGTCCAACGGTCAAGTTCCCTGGTGCGTACAAGAAGGATGACCCGTCCTTCAACTTCAGCATCTATGGCGGCTTCAAAGAGTACCCAATGCCCGGCCCGGCCGTATGGACCAGCGGTGGCAGTGGAAGTGGCAGCGACAACACCACTCCTGTTACGGACAACACCACTGTCCCCGATGAGGCCCAACCCACAGAGGCTGGCTGCACTAGCCGTAGGCGTGCGCGTCGTGGCTTGAAGAGTCGTCGCCACATGCATTGAGCACAATTTCCAATGCACCGACGGCCATGGTTCTCCGCGGCTTAAAAGGTCCGTGATTAATGTCCAGGCGATACTATTCATCTGAGGAACTGTGAACTCTTGGTTGGCTACTGCTTTTCCCCTTATCTTTGTTTCGTTATTTGTGCAGATCACCTGGAGTAATCTTGCCTTTATAGTATATAAGAAATAACTTAAATTATATATTATTTCACGAGCGTGAGGAGGATGAGCCGTTTCTTTAGCTGGCATATCTCTGACGACTTGCTCGTTAGTAAGTGATCACGCTGGATAACGGACGAAGTATGTAGAAAGCAAGAGGTATATTTCGCTGCAGTGGTATCGTCGATAATCAAAACAACCCTCTCCCGAGAAAACCTTCGACAACTTCCTCACCTCAGTTCGACACAACAACTGCCCCAAAGCTGATGCTCCCATTGCTACCCAACTCATTCAGCCAACCCTCCAAATCAGAGCTCACACCAACAGCCAATTCCTGCTCAACAACCCCAACCTGCCACGTATTCGTCACCACCAAGTCCCCACCTTGAGCAGAGATGACACTAAATGTCAATGCCGAACCAAAGGTGGGCGCAGTCTGCGTGAATGTCGCACTCTCAATAGCCCACTTGTCATCCTCACCCTCCGCTTTCCCCTGTATAACGCCAAGATTGCTTATCTCCCACGAATACGATCGCGTTTTGCCATGGTCCTTGACGAAAGACTGCCAGTCCTTCACAAACTTGGCTAGTCCGATATGGTCATTCTTCGTGCCCAAGTCCAGCTTGGCAGATAGACCATCGCGTATCGCTTTAGCGGAGGACCAGACCGTTTCTTCCAGATTTTCGCTCATGTTCGGCTTTGTTTGAGCCTCATTGATCTGTTCCCGAACCCTGGCAACGAGTTCTTCGTCAAACGTGAACGGCCAGTATGCTACGCTGTTGATGGCCGTCTTGTTCATGTCGATGCTCGGATGCCCTGGCTTCTGAAACTGTCTCAGACAAACAGGTGTACCGCATAAGAACGCCGAAGCCTTGATCTCCGCCAGCCTCATCGCCATCGATACCGCAATGAGTGCGTGCATAAGCCCTGTCAAAGTCGTGCCGTGCTGACGACACGCGTTAAGAACGGGCTTTAGTGCCTTTTTCGCAAGTTTCATCGCCACAATGCTCGTCGTCGACGGTTCTGTTGGTATTGGCGCCCATGTCGCCATGTGAGGTAGTTCTTTTGCTTTTATCAAAGCGATAATATCCCGTCCGAACTCGCCGACGATGAAATGCAGGGAAACGGGTAACTTGATCAGGTGATGCAATGGAGGCGTGAGTTCTGTGCTTGGGACCTCGAAGATGCGGTCTTTGAGAATCACGGTGCCATCGTCTTGTGTGTTGAAACACGTGAAAAGACTGTCCTGGAAGAGTTTCCCGCTTTTCCCATCTGCCGCGGTATGCTCCCAGGCAAAGATAACATCGATAAAGTTAGATTCGGCTGGTTTCAGTACAGTCGCCCTCCAACCAGGCTGGGTTTCAAGATTCGTATAAGGCTCATTGACTTGCCATTCCAAGGTAGCATGAAGGATTGATTCGTACGAATCTTGATCAGAGACGGTCCGCCATTCTATATGCTTACCCAAGTCAATCTGATCGAGTCGTACCCAGTATTGCTTCTTAGAGTCCGCGTTGATTCGTCCAACCGTGAACAGCGGATGCATTAGAATAGCGCGGGCGAAGGCATTCTCAACAACAACCTGGAATGATGCAGCGTCCGAGGTGAGTAGTGCTCCGGGGATACGATAACGACATGATATCGCACAGCCGATAATTGCTCCTAACGAATAATGAGCAGCTTGGAGGTGTTCACTGGAGGACATTAGCTCTACCTTTGAGGCTGCGGGTCGGGGTAGGACTCACACAGGGCTGAGCTTCCTCAAGACCTTGTCCTTGTCGCTGAGACTTCTGGCGCTCTTCTTGCTACGAAGGCGGTCGATCATGTTTGACGACATGGTGTAGCTGTAGCACTCGGGCAGATGGGAGAAGGGTTAAAGTGTTTACGGTTCAGCGAATTAAGCTCTTTAACTATCAAGCTTCAGAAGCATGGACATAACAATCTTATAGTAAAGTTTATTAAAATAGAATAGTCTACCACTGTCAGATGGTGACACGCTCGGTTGGCTTCAAGGTGAATTAGCAGGGTTATTTAGCCAATCACCTAGTCTTGTTCCGTCGGCCGTCGTGGCCCTTGTTCGTGACGGTGACGCTAGCGCGGTCATGATTGGGCTGATTCATTCCGTCGGGCGTCCGCGGGCACCAAGTTGAGTCGCGTTCTGGGGCAATCTGGCACCTTTGATTGAGGCTCAGGGCGTCGCTTTACCCTACAAGGCTACGTACATCGTTCGCACTCGGATAGGGGTGCCTAGTGTTTCAGGGATTTGCTCAATCAGTTCATCTCGACACGAGAGTTGATTGGTGGACTCTGGCTTCGTCATTGACCTTTGTTGGTAAGATGTCTACAATTGACAGTCTGGTCATATCATAATAGGGCTCAGGTACGAGCATCCGCCCGCGTCCGATTACAAGTCACATTGTCTTTGAAAGTAAGCAGACGTCAATTTTGAGGTTGATGTTGACTTTGGTAGGGGTAAGGCTTCTGCTTGACATTCCGGGGCCCGCAGACCCGCGGCCCTGGTCCGACCACTAGCGTGGGTCTTACGGGCTTAAAAAAGACGAATAAGCTGTCAAGTGACAGCCGCACATCCGTTTCAGCTTTGTTCTCTCGAGTTCAAAGATTCATGTTCATCATTTAGTTGCCCAGCCGGAGCCTTTACCGTGGCAGCACATCCTGCCACTGATCATGCTCATGTACACAGCGACTCGTTCAGGTCGACCCCACTGACACTGAAGGAAGTGACATGGGAACTTTAAGGAGCTTGAATGACATGCAATTATTTGCTGTCAAGAACAGTGCACAATGCTAAATGTTTCGATTCACGACAGAGCTAATCATGCAAAGAATGCCCCCGGCTTCACTAAGCTTTATGACGCTCTGCGCTGATCTATCAATGGCCAGCAAACTCTCTGAACTTCTGCCCTTGAACAATGTATACAGTTGTGCCAAAAAAGAAACAGTGATATGCCGGTTGAATCCGGCGCACCATAGCTGGCAAATGGCATTCTTTCATGTTGCAGAAAACCAGCTTCCTAGTGCTGTTGCATGAGTAGGGACTGTGAATGATATTTATGGATTTTTTTGACCAGACAGAGTGGCCCATTTCGGAGTATAAATTGAGCAGCTTCCTCCAGCTCTGCCGCAAACATGACCGGAAACTACTGAAAGACGTTGAAAGAAGGAATAAATCAAGAATCAAGTGCGGCCGGGGACAGCATACAATCATCATGTGCATTATGACACCACAGGAATGGCGTTGTAACTGCGGCGCAACAATGGCATCCCCTACAAAGTGGAGGACTTGCTCGAGAGACACCCCATATCTCAACACGTCGAAATGCCCTGGCCTTTACAGGAGCGATCCTCGAATCCTTCCATGGATATGCTTGACATGGTGGACGGCCAAAGAAAAGAAGCAACAGAGGGCAGGTTCATAAATTTGCTATATTTCCCCAGGGTGTCCTTCGAAATGATATTATGGTTTTGCTTAAATAGTTCACGTCAATTCCATTGAAGTGTCATTAACCAGATATCATTTTATTTCCCTTTATCTCGGTCATTTGACTCCTGAGGTGTACTGGCCTAAGCGTAAGGGGGAATTATTTGAGAACCAAAAGCAGAAACATCAGTAGACCACACTATACCAAACACCAAAAGGACAGAAAATGAGTCTCTGAAAGGATGTGTAAATGGCTTTTCAGTATCGATAGCATCAGTTCTGTTATCCAGCGGTATAGAAACTGAGTCACGGGAGTAGATTTCGGACTTGAGAATTACACACAATCAACGATTCTGACAATCATTGCAATAGCAAGACTTGAGTATGTGTCCCTACACAATTGTGATTAGAGTATTTCCGACAGTGAATAAGAAGGTGGAGATCAATTTGGTATATAAAACACATATCATTGTCCACCAATCGATGGTTCATAACACACTAATCCCGAAGGACAAGACACGAATCCCAAGGAGACGAAACAGCATCCAGAGATCATGTGTCGGCCGAATGAGATTATCAGGATATGCCATTGCCAGTATAAGGAGACGGAAACACGATGGGAACGTTGCCACCTAGCCAATCAGCTCGGACTAAGAGACAAAGACTTGGGTACTTGCTCTCAACTCAGAGAGGGAAAAAAACATTGAAGGGATATAAGTGCATGGATTGCCGATATGTAGACTTAGATAAAGAGAAATCGTGAGGACCCAACCGGAAAAGCATACCGCTGCATATAGGGGGATAGAGTTTGTCAAAAGCTGGAAGTCTTGCCGTTCACAAAGAGGTACTTTCCAGTAACCAAGAGTCTCGAGGTACAATAAAGGCCTCTCATTTCCTTTTATATTTATGACAATAAAGGCTTCGCAATTAACGTGACCCATAACGCATCAAACGTGCAAGCTCCTTTACAATCGACAACCCGTCCGTAAGTAAAACTAGCCCATGAGGGTCGCGGGTCTGATGAGTAGAGGCTCACTAGGAAAGTTGAAGCGCAGAGGCTTGATGGATTGTTTTCGATTTGCGCGCGCCGGATCGATAGGCTGAGTCCAGTGACTAATGCTTCGGTCACCGAATATCACGAACAGTCAGGCACTTAGCAACACTCAACACCACTACCATACCTTAGCAACACTAAAGCAAGCCTAGGGATATTTACATGCCTTAAGTAAATATATCATACAATATCTGAATTTATCTGTGACGTACTTGTTTGCGATATCGTAGCCCGATAGCAACTGTTTAGCAGATGCTCAATTATGCAATCCCGCCTCATCTCACGAGTACATCCAGCCTTGGAGTTGGGACACCGTACAAGCAAGCCTCCAATCGCATCCATAACTCCCCTGGCAAGCCGTGTTCTGCTTACCTGAATCCTCCTTCTATCCAGGGGACAGCACTGGCATGTCCTGTGATGCCTCTGTATACACTCCAGGCAGAATAGATGTCCGCAGGGTGTGACCACCGGAGTTACAAAAATGCCAATACATATGGGACAGACCAGGCGATCCTTGATATCGCCCGTGTATTCAAGGCTGCCAAAGTCTACAAGATTGTTTACTTCTTGTTGTGTTATGTTGTGGCGCTTTGCCTCACGAGACACAAGACACTCCACAGGCCATTCGACATCAGCTGGTTGGGCTAGACGTGTTAGCTACGGAAAGTCGAGGCTATGGCTTTTTTCCTGCTTACAGATTGCTTCCCAGGGAAGCGTTGTGTGTTCGCCAGCGCTGAATATGTCGTGAATCAAAAGGTTGGTGTTGCGCCGAGGCATTTGCTGTTGGTGGGGTGGCATATCTTATCTGCCTACTGGACGCGCCTAAGTGAGGAAAAGATAAATGGTCATTTGGAAAACGCCATATGAAGTAATCGGTATGTCAGAAATTTGGAGGGGGGAAATGTGAAAATTGGGTTTGATCTTATGGACGGGATTGATACTCCGAAGATCGGCAGGTTCTTATGCCATGTTGGAAAAGACAGTCAGTACATATGTGGGGATCTGTCACCGGACCGACCGGGGTTACATCATTATGAGCGTTGCATTACCGTAAAGCCATCTGTCATCTGTCTTGGGTCAGACATTTGTGAGTTAATCCTGCAAAGCTGCGCAACTTCCAAGTTTCCCAGCCCCCTTGTTGAGCATGAGATAGAAGTAGATTACAGAACGTGACTGAAGAATAACGTTGGCTATTGTTACTTCTGGCTTTATGTTCAAGGACTAGAATGCTTGTGTTTCTCCGACGCTTTGTATTTTAGTGTTGTACTGCGCACTATTTTAAAACCGCTTAAATTCCCGCAGTTGACCGGAAAGCTTAGCGACTTGTGAACCCTGAGAACCTGCTGGTCCAATCGCTGTCCACAGTACGGAAGGTGACATCATTCCACACGAATTTGGTTCGTGGGGGTGGAGGTACGGTGCGGACACTAGACCCTGCAGATCTCTCGATGGCTGTCAACTTGGATAAACACTGCTCGATCCCCGATCTCTCACGGTTCATCAAGATCGCCGTACATGTCACACAATGCACGATTCACTTAAATCAAAGACCACCCCATCCCCTTCTCCCTCTCCATTGAGAAGGCTAATAGATACGACTACTCAATGTAAACGCCCTCGTTGTCGGCAGCAACGTGCATCCCGCCCACGAGCCAAATCCTTTTCCAGCTTTCACAAGGGAACATCAAAACACGAGTCTTCATGCTCACAGGTAAGTAGAATTTAGCGAATCTATATGCCTATACTTACAGTACCAGTGCAGCGACCAATCACCGGAATGCGTCGGCCATCCACTCGGCAGTGTCACTGTCTTCCAGACATCAGCTATAGCCTCGGCCCTGGCAAATGAGACCGCATCCCCTCCTGGCAAATTCCATGCCGACGCACCATGCTATCTACCTAGAGATCAGGAATCATCGCAGAGAGTGCTGCATACAGATAAGGCTATGAGCAAGTCCCAAGGTCGAGGAGTCTCGCACAAGAAGCCCAGGGGGCAAAGCCATCCGCCAAAGCACCAACACCACCAACGACAAGACTTGCGGCTATGGAAAGCGAATCCTGCCCAGCCCAGCAACAGGGCATGCACATCCTGCCGGACTGAAGAGACACCGCGATGGCGCGAGGGTCCAGCAGGACCTCGAACACTGTGTAACTTCTGCGGTCTACTGTACGCGAAGCGGCAACAGAAATGCCATGATGCCCCATCAAGTCACTGCTTTACCTCTGACTAGTCTCCCCAGGCACTCAAAGGAGAGTTGTCTCCGGTTAATAAGCGACTGCACACGATTGTCGGGCGGTTTTTCTTTTTTTATAGTATCACCAGGGAGCAAAAGGTCAAGGAAAGGAAAAAGGAGTTCCAGGTCTCTTTACACATATGAGTTATCAAAAGGCAACAATGTAAACTATCAAGACAAAACCCCAAGCACCGTGCCTGTGAAGTGTTTGCGTTGCACATCTCGAAATTAGGCATGAACCTAAGGATAATTAATGGCTGAGCGGAAACAAGGGCGTCCCCACATATTCAAGGGTCTAGGGGTCTTATCGGGGTCCAATGGTCCATGTGTCAGTAAAAGACACTAGACAGGGGTATAGAGTCCAGTCAACCAACCAGACAAGCAGTTCGAACGGAGGGGCCCCGGCGTAACTTGAGAGACCCCATCCTTCTTCGTCTTGATGAGTTGAGAATGACGAAATGGCTTTTTTGCTGGCTTGCTTTGTCTTAGCCTGAGAGCGGAGAGGGAAAAAAACAGGTTTTCCTCCGCTTGGGGCTTGGGCAGTAAGAAGATGGCTCTGTGCGCGGGACAGGTCACATTTCCGGTCCGTGGTGCGTTGTTTGTTTTTGGACGGGCAAATCATCCACCTAAAAAGAACCTCGGCGGTAAAAAAGGGGCTTGTGACTGCCCGGCCCGTGTGGCGGATGCCTTTGGCAAGATCAATCGATATTGGAGAATTGCCACAATCGTTGGATGTCATTTGCATCGGTTGACCATGGGCACAATCGGTGAAACGCGCGGGCGCACCCAGATGATCCACGGACGCAAATGTTCTAGACCGTCAAAGACCTGGGGATCTAGAATCTTCGTCCGTCCTTTCTGGTATGGCGCATCTCTATCACCGGCCAATAATCTCCTGTCATGCCCGCCTTAGCTTCGCGTCCAGGTGGCGAAAGTAGGCCCAACGTTAACAGGCGGGAAGGGAAGGCTTTATTGTTGATCCTTTTTTCGTGGATTTCAGCATCCCTTCCTTTGCCCCAAGTTTGATGATACCTATCGTCAGACAGAATATGTCGGGTGTCAGGGATGCCCCGATGTCTGAGGACAGGCGCGAGAATGAGACCTCACGGTATGTTTTAATCAGAGAAACCATTTGTTGTTGTCTGGGATGAGCTACTCAACTCACCGGGGTTCCACAGATACGACGAGTTGCTACGCACAACGTGTAAGCCCTTCAGTCAGATCAGCGCTGCCGGATCCGAAAAGTCACCAGATTCCGTCCTCACTGGTCTCGCTCAGTTGGCAACTTGTCAGACCAACACCGAGCGCTCATTTGTATCTCTATTCGACGAGATAAGCCAGTACATAGTAGCCGAAGCAACGCCCTCCACGTCACTACTAAACAGCTCATCGTTGCGCAATAGCGATGAGGATCTCTTGCTCTGCGGCACTTACATCCCTCGTGCCGATGGGGCCTGTCACTATGCTTTACGTGCTATGGAGGAGACCGTGGATGCCTCGTCTTCGCAAGAGTTGCCGGTAATCGTTGTTCAAGACCTGGCTACAGACCCAAGGTTTGCGTCAAGTCCCAATTGTCGTCCAGGCAGTTTTGCTAGGTTTTACGCAGCCGTGCCTATACGGTCTCCTCGGGGCATCAACATCGGTGTCTTGTGCGTCATGAACCCTACGCCTGGGGGGAACTGGACTGACAAACACTCAAATGTCATGCGGGGATTGTCGCAAACAATCATGGATCACCTCGAGGGCAATCGAATCAAGCATTCGTTAAAGCGCAGCACGGCCATGAGCCTTGGGCTTCAGAGATTCACCGAGAGGGGGTTGCATTCACCAGTTCAGAAATCACATCTCGGCTCAGACCTTCATGCAAGCGAAACCCCAACACAACACCACAATGAAAATATCTCCTTCACAAAGTCTGTTCCACCAGAGATCCCGAAACATCAACGCAGCGATCCTACGTCCTCAAATCCATTTCTCATCGCCGCCAACATCATCAAAGAAGCTCTGCCCGCTGATAACTGCGCCTTTTTCAGCGGAGACTCGCGGGACCTTCATTTAGTCCACTCACCAGAAACAGAGACTCAGTACGACTTCTCCCTCAATGCATCTTGCCTAAGTCCAGGCGTCTACAGCAACCCGATTGTTAATGATACCCCCACTGCCACCGAATTCCAACCCTCTTGCCAGTTGCTTGGATCATCCAATGCCCTCGGCTCCAACTACACAAAGGACTTTAGCAACATTTCACAAATATTTCTATCTCACATGCTTCAAAAATACCCTGAAGGTTGCATATTCGAATTTGAGCCACAAGGCTCATCCACTCATGATACGAAAAGCTTTGCCTCAGTTTCTGAAGAACAACGATTACCACCGAGCATCCTTTCGAAAACCGAACAACATATCTACGAACAACGGGAATTGCAAAAGGCTTTCAACGGAGCTCGATATATGGCATTTATACCTATCTGGGATCCTGTCAAGGGCCTGGTCTCCATCGGCGGCTTTGCATGGTCAAAGGCACTGCGGCGTGAATCCGACAGAGACAGCGAATTGCCCTTCTTCAGGGCGCTAGGCATACTGGCGGCATCCGAGGCCTTCCAAATAGAAACACTGGCAGCCGACAAGGCCAAGTCAGATGTTCTGGGCTCGATATCTCACGAGCTGCGCTCTCCACTTCATGGAATTACACTTGGCCTTGAACTGCTAAACGACTCTGGCTTAGGTGCAGCGCAGCAGAACATAGCTCACTTGATCGGTACTTGCTGCCGTACTCTTCTTGACACGACAGAGCACCTACTGGATTTCACAAAGGTCAATCAATCGTTGGGGTCAGATACAATAGACGACGGCCGTTCGGAGGAATCTGCGATCAGCACTGCGCCATCGAATCGGGAGCAGATCTTGAACAAAACTGTTCACCTGGACCAAATTGCTGAGGATGCAGTAGAGAGCGTTTATGCAGGCCACAGCTATCAGAATGCGTCGATCGCTCACATCTTCAGTCCTTTCAACAGCCGAACGAGTGCCGACGTCAGCGCCCTTCGACGAATGGACTCAATAGAAGCGGCAGAGGCAAAGGCCATCGACCAGAGGAATCGACCACAGGATGGTGTCGTTTCCGTGTTTTTGCTCTACGATCCAACGCTCCCATGGAGCTTCCAAACGCGGGCCGGTGCTATTCGCCGAATTATCATGAACCTTTTTGGAAACTCGCTCAAGTATACATCTCAAGGTTTCATCAAGGCTACGTTGTCTCAATCACAATTAAAAGATGCTACAGGCGGAGAGCGCATGATTGAACTGGTGGTTGAAGATACGGGTCGCGGAATCAGCGAGGACTTTCTCCGCAATAACGTATTCAAGCCGTTCTCTCAAGAGGACCAATTATCTACCGGGACGGGGCTGGGACTCAGTTTCGTCCAGAGGATGACCTACCAGCTTGGAGGCACAATATCCATCAGTAGCCAAGTCGATGTTGGTACCAAAGTCACAGTGTCGATACCCATGGTGCAAGGTACAAGCTCTCCAGGGTCTGAATTTGCGGTGTACGCACAAAGCCCATGCCACGGCCTACGCGCCAAACTGGCCGGTCTGCCTCCAGGCCACACGGCCGCTCTTCAGCCTGAGTCTATGACTTTCCAAGCCTTGATGAGTGATTTGTGCTTTGAGCGCCTCGGCATGGTATCGGACGCGTTATCAGAGGTGGAGCGACTAGCTCCAGATGTCGTTGTTGTGCAGGACAGTTCAACAAGCAATATTTCAGAACTAGCGCAGTCATGGCCCGACGCACCGGTACTGGTGCTTTGCAACAACGCACTTGTCGTTCAAAGATACGAGTCAGCACACATATCAGCTGGACACACGGGATTATGTGATTTTGTTGCACAACCGTGAGTCATTCTGTATATGCAATACCCATTTTTACTAACTAGTTCCAAGTCTCACTCCGAACAAGCTAGCAAGGGCAGTCTCAAGAGCCATCACCCTCTGGGCTGAGTTAGAAGACAGTCCACACAGCACAGGAACAATACCACTGCCCACGCCATCAGACACGGTATCATGCAGCCAACCGCCGACACCCGCCATAGAGAGTCCCTTGGGCGGGCTGGTCCCAGCCCAAGACTACTTCCAGACCCCACAGTTCCTCCTAGTAGAAGACAACCCTATAAACCTCAAGATGCTAACTCATTTTATGAGGAAACTCCAAAAGCCGTATCACACCGCAGTAAACGGGCAGGAAGCGGTGAATGCTTATAAAGAGACGCCGGGGCAGTTTAAGTGTGTTCTTATGGATATATCTATGCCGATAATGGACGGTCTAGAAGCTACGCGTCAGATACGAGCTTTTGAGCGATACAACGGAATAGCTGCATCCAAGATCTTGGCTATTACGGGACTTGGGTCTGAGAGTACGCGGGAGGAAGCAACTAGAAGCGGTGTCGATGTTTTTATGACGAAACCTGTCAAGCTGCGTGAGCTGGAAGCGGTTATTAATAGTTAAGGTGGACATTTGCTCTACAAGTGACATTTTCTAGGAATTTGCCTAGGCTAACTCGATAGACAGCGGGGGCAAGAGATGACTGTCCATTGATTCCAGTGCCTTTCAAGGACTCGTCACTGAGTGTGTAGGACTGAGAGGGATGATTGCAAGTACCGTGGCGAGGTAGCAGCTTGCGCTTTGTAATGAAGCCCTAGCCGTGCTGTAGGTCAAGCTTGTCTTTAAATAGAGCTTCGCATACATGATAAATGCTCTGTGTGAGAGATACCATTCTCCGTTGAGCATATTTCGCTCTGATTTCCTTAAAAAAAAAAGAAGAAAAAAAAGGAACACATAATCAACAGTAAGGAGATTTGTCTGATGCTGTGACTGAGGAAATCGCAAGCCTGTTGTGATGGCAGCTCAAATCATGCTGATCGATGACCTGGGAAATAGCACATCGCTGAAAACCACGAAAAGCCATCGTTCGAATTGAATGAAGATAGCAATTGCACTTAGCCGTAACAACCACGAAATTTTGCGAATGTTTTGGCTTAACTAGCGATTGAGTAGGAGAAACAACCCTTGGCGTGAAAGTACCATTACTCGAGCAAAGATCGAAATTCCAAAAGAGCAAGAGCCAGCAAGAACCAAATTTCCAGAGTAAACGTTGCGGCGGCCTCGTGGACGATGGTTTCGAAGTTACCATGAATCGGAAGTTCCACTGCGTGGCATCTACTATAGAGCAACGATGTCAGAACAACCCGGCTGTGAAACTCCCCGCTGATGTCCCGATTGGCACCTTTTCGGCTGATGCTTTTGGGGCTGCACGATCTCAAGATAGCACTTATGATGTCATGACACATGCGGGTGATCCTTACTATAAGATGGATAGAAATGGGAATGTCGCTGCTGGTTAGTATGGTGTTCAGGGACACGTCTATAAAGAAAATACAGACATACAAGATGCCAAGTTCTGCACGGGTTCTTGGGATGAGGCTCTATTTAATCATGATTCATATAGTTCTTTGCAAGTGGCAGATTCATTTGCCTCCAAGGAGAGCTACAGAGAGCAAGTCTCAGCTTTCTTGAGTCACAACAGCAGCTCATTCTATTACATACGACCATACCTGCAGTAGAATACGGGATCCCGTCCGCTCTCCCATAGTCAAGCCTGCAAGGGGCGGATTAGTAGTTGGGTCGGTGACGACCAGCGAATCCCCGCTGTTGTATGTCTTTTTGCCTTCTTTGTGATTTGATCTGCCTTTATTTTTGCCTGTCTGTTGGCTGTAGAGGATGTGGTGTGGCTGACTGACAATCTGGGTTGTTGGGATGGTTGTGGAGTTGAAGTCACGAACAGGCACATTGGGCGGGGAGACTGGCGAGGACTTGTTTACAAAACGTTGATGCGACTGCGAAGTCTCAAATGAAACGATAAGGCCTTCCTACGTTTGTTTTGTTGCTTTGCTATGCTGGATAGGTTGAGGGAAATGCTTTAAATGAAGGAACTCCCACTCTCAACCTAGATGGAACACTTCACTGTATCACTAACATCCATTTAATTATTTTTGGTCTGAGCCCAAACTGCGCTCTATGCGAAATCACGAGGGCCTATAAATTATTTGAGAGTTTGTCTGATCAATTGAATTTGGCAAACTTTGATCTCAGCTATAGGCAATATTGGACGTGCCATATCCTAGATGTCGCTCTTGTCCAATCCCCACGTCTACCGGCAACTCAAGCGAAATACATTTTGTCCTCGTAATCCCGATTTCCTCGTTTGCAGTGTCCGGCCTTGCATCCCTCGCAGTGATCTTCCTCGTGAGGCTCCGTGCGCTTGTCAGAGTACTTTGGTTTCTCGACCTCAACTCCATTCCACTTCTTGATTCGGTATGTGACTCTGTCGACATACGTATCTTCTCTGAGCTTTGGCTTGCTTAGGTGGTTGCATTCACGGCAACGCTGGTGGTACACACGGACATTGTAGCGAGTGCGGGAGTACTCGCGGATCGTGATAGCAACGACCATACTCTTCCAGCCAGGAGAGTCACATTTATTGTTGTGGCATACGAATCGCCCGATGATGTTGGTGTCGAAGGTATGGATGGTGCCGGGATCCTCATCTTTGTCGAAGAAGGTGTAGTCAAGCTGATGTTCTTCAAGTTTATCGGCGACCTGGTCGTGGAGCTCGGGGAACATGGACCACGAGCGCGGCGGCTTCTTTCCTCTGTTGCCCGGCATGATAAAACAACTTCTGGTTATTTCTGGGACGTTAGTTTGTTAGCACCCATGCCGATTAATAGATAAAGCTTGATCGCGCGGCTTACCTGGTGTTGGTTGTCGTATTGATCCTGCCGGTGAGGTTTAGATAAGAAGGGAAGAAAGAGAATCTTGTGAGGAGGAAGAGAGACCAGAGAGAGGAGAGAGAGAAGGGGAGGGAAAGGTTGGGGCACGACGGCTTGCATGAATGACGAAAGAGCAAACATCATGCACTGCCGCTCAGCTGTTTGCCAGTGCCAACGCTAATCGCGGTCTCTTGCTGGTGGCAAGCAGCTGTAGCTTTGAAAAACGCGATGCGCCACGCACCACTTATCATCGGCTGTTTGAACGACAAAGTGCTGCCTTGGAAAGCTCTCAAATTGGAAGATGATTAATTCAAATGACATTCTAGTAGGTACTGTTTGCCTCCAACGACTCTTAACAAAGGGTGTTTATCGATTCTTTTACACACTGTTTGTTTCGAACCAGCAGCGCCTATTGGTGATTTAAGTTGCCGCGGTCGGCCTCCTGCGTCGACCATCTCCTACGACCGCGTGACACGGCTCTGGACAGCGCAGACATACAGGGCCACATGCAGCATTTGGTTACCGATCGCCATTCACTGCCGTTTGCGCCTTCGTTGCTTCTGTATTGGATCTCTCCCTTGCGTCTTCCTTATCCCCGTTTAGTCATGGAACAGTAATACTCGTGTTAAACGACACTACAAGATCTGGAACCTTTGCAGAGCGTCATCCATCTGATGTTCATTTTTCTCAGAAACGCCTTTATCTTTTCGTTTAGGAAACGAGGCGGTCAGGATCATGCGCAAGCTCAGGGAATGCCAGGGCCTCAAGGGCCATTTCAACTGTCGGTCACGCTGAAACCTAGCCTTCTAAAGAATTCTCCCTAGATATGATTCCTCAAAAGACTTTGCAGCACAAATATGATAGACTTTGTCCCATGGACATGGTGACGATCTGAACAGTCTAGCCTTGGTATCGCGATCCCGAAGAAGACGAAAGGCATGAGGGTCAGGTCAGTCCTTGGCTCGATACCATCGTCACCAACGAGAAAGGGCTTTTGGACACAAGATCTGACCAGATCACCAGCAATCAAAGTGGGTGAGCTGTCAAGAGTAGCGCTTACTTATAAGCCCCCGCTGATGCCTGGTCTGCCATGCCACGGATTCATAAAACGCACAGCTTTCCTCGAGACAGATAACTCTCCATACATAAAATTCCAGCATTCTCCTGCAGCCAAGGAACCCAAAATGGGCGCCACATTCTCTCAGTTCTGGGCCCCGCCGCCAATCACAGTTGGCTTAATTGGTCTTCGCTCAGCAGGAAAAACAACCATCGTGCATACATTGAGCGGAAATCCAGATCTAGTGACGCCATCCATTGAAAGCGAGTCTCCTTCATTTTCGGCCATTGAATTCATAACACTGACATCAGTAGCCGTCGAGATCACCCCCGTGTTTCAAGGAAGCCAACGGTTCAAACTCTTCGACTATGCCGGAAATCCGCACTGGAGACCTTGTTGGAGGAGTTTCATGTCCAGATTACAAGCCGTTGTTTTTGTCATCGACAGCACAGACATGGATGCACTACAGGAAGCAAAGATGGAGTTGATTGGGTTGTTGGAGGAAGATATGCTTGAACAGCAGCCGTTTTTAGTGCTTGCTAACAAGCAGGATAATTCGGTGAGAGAGGCATCGTGACATGTGTCATCTTGGGGACTGACATGCGACAGAAAGCCATGAGCGTCGCGAAATTGACTGAATACCTCGATATACAACAATATCTTGACAGACCATCGAAATGCGTCAGTGCCAGCCTCACATGGCACGTTCAAGCTGATGCTAACGCGTAATTAACAGCGCGTTCAGTCTACAAGCGCATTGACAGGGGAAGGGTTGGCTACGGGTCTAGAATGGGTGCGAAAAGCATTTTAAGAGCATCGCAACTGATGTATCAAGCGACTATACTATTACTGAGGAGCCGCCCCAGTCTCGGCGTTCAGGGAGCCACGATGTTGATGTTGTGATTAACATGTTATCTACGCGACCGTGTTGGTACGATAAGCTCCGGAACCACATTTCCCCGTGCCTATCAAGTGCATTTGTCAGCCAGTCTCGAAGATCAGCCCACCAAATGCCGCTGATGCCGACAAGTCTCATCAACCCAAAAGCTTATTATCAGTGTATCATCGATCGCCATCGACGTCGAAAAAATGGCTGAGCACCCTTCATTCACTCTCGCTGGTCTACGTAAGTCACCCCACGACCTCCTACTGTGACCTGGACCCTAACTGACCATCCTTCATCACAGTGGCCGCTGGCGGTACAGCTGGCTACATCCGAACTCGCTCAACTCCTTCTCTCGTCGCTGGTGTTGGTCTTGGTATCTCATACGCTTATGCTGGTACGTGCTCCTCTCCCTCAAATGATCTCAAGGCTCACAAGGCGCAGGCTATCTCCTCAAGAACAACAAGGACTACGGATCTGAGCTTGCCCTTGCCAACAGTGTCCTCTTGACCGGCTCCGCTGTGCCTAGAATCATCAAGACAGGTGGTCGAGCTCCTGTACCGCTTCTACTTGGTGCTGCGGGTGGACTTGCGACGTATTATTACCAGAAGAAGTTCCGTGAGTTTCGGTACGGTGTATAAGAACGTTGAGCAGCGGTGGATAAATGGAGCAGTGCGAAAAGAACAATATCTCATTGTAAAATACTGTACTATATAAATAATCTATCCCCGGGAATTATGTACATTGTGTGACGCCCGAGAGACGATTGACACCTACTTAGCTGGCATAGAACAGGATCTATGATACTTGCAGTGGATCTTGAGTAATGTGATTCGGAATTACTAACGAAGGCCTGGAAACAATCCGTAGGCTCCGGATGAAGAAGCGCTTGTGTGATATAGGTGTCACGTCCTCATCCTCTAGGCAGACCTTGAACGCGCTCTCATGATTTCGGGAGCGTGCGCTCAGATGGCTACCCTACGCTAACCAAAAATAGCTCAGTGCTTTAACCAAATTTCACACTAACCCAAACCAGAAGTTGTAAGTCTTGGCATTCACCCCAGATTAGTAACCCCGTAAATGTTCTTCTCTGCGATAGTTCGACCTCCTGCCTCCCATCTCATGAATCACAAGAACGTTACAGAGAAACGAAAATGCCGCGAGATTTTCAATTTGTCACCGTCTCTAACCCAGCTGAGCCTGTTCCCCAGCATGTTCGGAGCTTAACTCACTCCCATGCGGTTCGGCAAAGACATGCCAAGGAGAGAAGACTACGAATGCAGAAACACCAGGAGGATATGGCTAGAAATGCGGAGAGTACTTCGCTGAACAGGGCTCTTGGGTATAGCCGTGATCCATTTGCCGCGCTTCCGAAACAACTCTTGTCCCACGAGACCTTTCTTCTCGACCATTGTATGTTTGTCACCTTGCTCGTGCCCATCCACTAACAACACTCCAAAGATGTCCGCGTCGTCGTTCCGTATAACGTCAGGACATGTCGTCTCTTCAACCAAATGAACGACCATGAAGGACATGTAATGCGCGATTGGGTTGGTCTCGCCATTACAGACAGTGATCTTCTCAGCTCCATCATCCTCCTCGGCGCGTGCCGCCACATTCTTACCAGCAACCCCAACTCGTATTTAATGCAGGCCGCATTACAGTACAAGTATAACGGCCTCAAAGCACTGCGCCATGCCGTTAGTGGCGCTTCACCGACTCTTAGCCCGGTGACTATTGCGAAAGCTTGTGCTATGGCTTTAGATGAGGTAGGCGTTTTGTACCACGTAGAAGTTTATTCTGATATTTGAGTAGGTTAGCTTTGGTGAGGCTGCTGTTGCGAGACAGCATATTCAGGGTGTGTTTGCGATGATAGAAGCTGCGGGGGGTTCGCAGTGTCTCGATGGAACGGGGCTGTTGAAGCGCATGTATCTTAGATTCCTTGAGATGCGGGAGAGTCCGGGGCTACAGCTACCAAAGGGTATTGCTTACTCTAGTCACTGCTGGTAAGGCAAGGTAGAAACTGTGATTCGATTTTTGGCGTAAGCTTATGGTTATAATACATATAATTACACCAGACATTCTTGCCGCGGCGGTTGTTCCTCTCTGCAATTGGTAGTATTTGTTTGTATCCACTTCGCCAAGCCTTATAACTTCCCATTTGGGTCGATAATGCCGGCACTTAGAGTATGAACTACGACTTGAGTCCGTCCAGAGCATTGAGAGGATCATTCCTGTTCTTTTGGCTTCGGTGAAATGGTTTCCTTCATTATGAAGCATTCGTTGGTTTGTAAGCTCGAGAGAAGAGCCATGACATCCGGCGGCATGCTTTGTCCCTCATTGACTCTTGGCAGGCTATATATATGTGTGTATCGATCAGCTCCTTGGAATCTTTAATCTCAAGCCTACAGCTCAAATAACCTTCTCATCTTTCTGAACCAGTATATCACCATGTCTTTACCTTCAACTGCCATCCCCACCGGCTCATGGGTCCTTGTCACAGGCGCCACAGGCTTTGTTGCCAGCCACGTTACCCGCCAACTTCTCCAGCGCGGCTACAAGGTCCGAGGCACAGTCCGTGATCAAGCCAAAGCCCAATGGCTCATTGACGATCACTTCAAGTCTTATGCCGACAGTGGTTCCTACGAGCTGGTCACTGTTCCTGATCTATCTGCTGCTGGAGCTTTTGACGAGGCAGTGAAAGGTGTTTCGGCCGTTGCTCACATCGCGAGTGTCCTTGACTTTGATCCCAACCCCAACAATGTCGTTCCCCAGACTGTCGCAGGAGTAATCTCTGTCCTCGAAAGTGCATCCAAGGAGTCTTCTGTTACGCGCTTTGTCTTCACTAGCTCCATCGTCGCTGCTGTTTTCCCAACGCCTGACTCAGACGGTGTTGTCGACCGCAATTCATGGAACGAATTCGCTATCAAAGCGGCCTGGGCTCCACCACCTTACGAGCCATCGCGTGCAATGCTCGTCTATGCTGCAAGCAAGGTCGCTGCAGAACAGGCGCTATGGAAATACATCGACGAGAACAAGCCTAACTTTGTGGCCAATGTCATTTGCCCGTCTGGTATCTTGGGCGAGCCACTCCACGAGAGACATGCCACTTCATACGGAAACTGGATTTATTCTCTCTTCATCGAGAAGAGGGAAATGATCGACACGTTCCAAACTGGTAGGTCCCATTCATTGATCAACACCCTCACAATACACTGACATTCAACTACCAAGCATTCTTTGTTGATGTCCAAGACGTTGCCCTCCTCCACGTCGCTGCCCTTCTTGATCCCGAACTCAAGGATGCGCGTCTCCAGACGTGGGGCCACAAAGCCCACTGGAACAACTTCTTGTCCATCCTGCGAGAGCTTCGACCGAAGAGGAAATTCATCCCTGACTATCCTGAGACATTCTACCTTAAGCTATCAACTGATCAGTCTGAGTCTATTGCTCTCTTGAAGAAGTGGACTAGTCAGGAAGACTGGAAGCCACTTAAAGAGATTATTACCGAGGCTATTAATAACCCCTACTGGAAGACTGAGTAGAAGTCTGATGAGATGCGCGGGACTTCTGGGCCATAGGCACCTTGTAGAAATGAATTTTAGAACAGATACTAGCTCAAAATTAAAAAAAAAAAAAAAAAAAGAAAGAAAGAAAAGGCGAAAGGTTTTGCCTACTTCTACGTACTCATGCTGTATTGTCAACTACCTATGGTTGATAATCTTGAGGAAAACCAAACCTCACAGATACCTTGCGTATTTTTAAGCAAACCAAGCCATTATACGCTTTCTACCGATGAATGGAAATTAAGCCCTTATTTATTTAAATAACACAAGCTTTTCTCAGAGCACAATTTGTAGTAATTTACAATTGCAAAGTGTATGCAAGATAGACTGCATAAAGGTAGCCTAAGCAAAGAATTCAACGTGAACTACCGGGTAATAGCAGTCAGATGACAGAATAAGCCAGTCAGTGACGCTAGCCTCTTGACAGGAATGCGTGTCAAAATGGCGGAGACAAGCTACGGCACTAACGCAACCAACAGTTTATTATATGCATCCTGGTTCTCATCCGGGCGCAAGATTACCAAGCCCATTGCGTCATCAATGATACTGTGTCATTGAGATGAATTAAACTCTACAGAGGGATTTACCGATCACTCAAGAACCTTGCACTGCAAGATGAAAGTTTCCGAAGCTCTGGGTCAGCTCTTCAGTCCCATTTGCACATGTCCTTCCTACCAATTCGCAAACCGGGCAGCTGAATCGTTAGATCGAAACCCCGCATTTGACAACGGAGCTAACGATGCCAACGCACAAACGCACGCGTAACGGGCAACGCCATTACTGGCAAGTAAGCCGATGAAGTATGTTGATGGCGTAGACCAGTCCAAGGTTCGAGTTCTCAGCCTTGACTAACCGGCGCGCGTTTGTCCGCCATGTCCTTCAACAGTGGCTTCACCATCACCAAGACAGACCAAAACACCGCCCAGCAACAGCCCAGCACGCATTCCTCCACCAAAACACAGCAAGGCTCATATCCCATCCAACGTAATCCCCGGAAACAAAAATAAACCCTTCTCTCCGTCGGACTCTGTCCATACCCTTGTCTCAACCCCGCAACAACGGAAAACCGGATCAATCTTGCGGACTCTAGCTCCTTTAATTGGTCACGTCGGACAAGCTAATTCGTCCAGCCACCAAACACTCATCGTCATGACTGCCAAGCTAGGCTGTGAACTATCGAAATGGCATCCTCCAAGCCTTTTTCTGAACCATGTTTTTTTCCCTGGGGGGCACGGTTGGCGGAAGCCTCGGCTCGGCGTCATACGTAATATGATGGAATTGAGTTAAAAAGACACACTTCTCCGCTGTTGCTTCAAGGTTTGGACTGGTTGTCAATTACATCATACTTCGCAATGGCTCTTCACCGTGTCCTCACTCTTTTGCTGGGCCTCACTGCTGCCGCTCAAGGCCATATTTACAAACGAGCTGTATCCTCTGAACCTCTCCCACCCAGTGAAGATCCGTGGTATACCGCCCCAGAAGGCTATGAGAATAAAGAGCCCGGCACTGTTCTTCGTCTACGCCCTGCACCGGGAAATTTGACTCGCATCACTGGAAACAGCTCTGCGACGTATAATATTCTGTACCGCACCACAGACAGCCAGTACAAGCCAACATGGGCCGTGACAACGCTCTTTGTGCCTAAGCTTGGGGCCAACAGCACTGCTGCGACGCTCTTCAACCAGAGCGCTCTGCTCTCGTACCAAGTTCCCTATGATTCAGCAGATGTGGATGCTAGCCCCAGTTACGCGGTCTACTCCGCAGATGGTGTCAGCAGTCTGGAGCTTTTCAACGCTGCTCTAGGTCTTGGCGTGTTTCTCAGCGTTCCTGACTACGAAGGTCCTCTTGCGTCGTTCACAGCAGGTGTCATCTCCGGTCATGCGACTCTTGATTCAATCCGCGCCATTCTCTCTCTCGGTCTAGGTCTCAACACAACGAACCCTCGTGTTGCGCTTTGGGGATACTCTGGTGGCGCGTTGGCCAGCGAGTGGGCTTCTGAGCTTGCTGTGCAGTATGCGCCTGATCTTCAAGGCACAGTCGTTGGTGCTGCGCTTGGTGGCCTGACACCCAACGTTACCGCTGTCTTGGATGCTATTTCCGGCAAAGACGCCGCTGGTCTTGCGCCAAGCTCCATTCTCGGTCTAACTAGCCAGTATCCTGACGTGCAGAAGTACGTTCTCTCGCAATTGAAGACGTCCGGAGAAAACAACAAGACTGCCTTCCTGGCTGCCGAGAACTACACCTTAGCCGAAGCAGGCGCTGCATTTGCGGGAGTCGATATCTTCGATTTCTTCAAGGACGGCGAGAAGCTATTCCGTGATCCTCGCGTTCAGCGCATCATCAACCGCGATGGAATAATGGGCTACCATGGCGTTCCTCAATGGCCTATCTTTGCATACCAGGGTGTCCATGATGAGATCAGCCCAATCGCAAACACGGATAAGCTCATTGAGCGATACTGTGGTGTCGGCGCCAATATCTTGTATCAACGAAACACTGTGGGTACGCACTCACAGAACTTTGTGCTTAATGCTGCTACGGCTATTCAGTGGTTGGCTACTGTTTTGACTGGACAGTATGATAAAGCGTACAAGACGGAGGGATGTACCATTCAGAATGTTACGAGGAATAGTACTGCTCTTCCATTGAAGAAGAGAGGTATGCCTATGAGGGTTTATGATTTGTGGTGATGGGCTATGAGAAGTTATGACGTTTGGATCTGAGTTTATATAACGGAGTTTTTGGATGAGATCGATTGGATGCTCTACATAATATCGTATAATATTCAGCCAGTACATATTAATGCTATTTCTATCTTGGGACCTTCCGTACTTCCTGTGAATCTGTAAAGATACCGCTAAATGGTGAAGAAGAAGAGGCATTCTCATGATCTCGACATGAACCCTTACCAGGCATAAAACACAACAGCAACGGCAAGAACCGCAACTAGATAAGGTCCCAGAACCCCCATCGAAACCCTCATAAGCTTCGCCATGAGCCGCTCCATATCTTCACTATGAGTTTTCCGATCATTAACTCTCGGAAACTCAACATTCGGTATATCCTTTTCCAAGAATTCACAAAGCGGTTCCCACCCATCACCAAGAGAATACTCTAGCCGTCTCTCCTTTGGTACAGCTTCCCGAACCTTGATGTAAAATTCCTCATAAGTATTTCTTGCAATGTCGGGCGTAATGGCCTGGACAGAATAGTCATTTACAGAGAAGAAACCAGCGAGAATCTTCCTCATGGCATGTAAAGCTCTAAAACGCAAGACATACCAGGTTAAGAATTTCTGAAGCCAAGTTGCTTCAAAGACAGAGACTAATATCTCCGAATGAAACGAAGGCCACCAATCTTCAAACTTCCTCTGGACAATAACAACCTTTGCGTCGGGATACGATTTGATGAGCTCCAACGTAAACGTCGACGCTATATCAGTGGCGACATCATAGGAACCCCACAAATTCTGCCAATATTCTCTTGTGAACGGTGGGCGAGGACCGTCGTGAGTATAGTCTGGGAAATTGATGAGGTGAGGAAAGGTTGCTTCTGCTGCTTGCTCGAGTTTGACCCAGGGTTCGTGCCATTCGTTATGTAGGGCGTGATGGGCTTTGTAGCCGAGGATCCGGTATGCTGCGGCCATGGAAGCAGTTCCTGTGCGGTAAAGACCTGCGTGGATTATTTTTATACCGTCCTTTGGCGGCTTGGTTTTGGTGGTGAGGGACGCCATTCCGACCCAGTGAGAGAACTAAAGTTGAGACTGAGAGGTGTAGAGGGCTGAAATGATGATGGGCCTATGGGATAGCTAGTGAAAATTATGGTGTAGCGATAAATAAAGAGTGTAGACACCACGTAGTCGGGTTTATGTAAGATTGCGAGTATGCAATCGAGACTTGAACGGACTTCGAAAACCTCACTTTCGTCGGAATACACGCCCGTCGGAAACTTCAGCTACTTAATTGCAATCCTACTCTGAATGAATACGTGTTATCTACAGTTGTGTGCCGTTGCCCAATGTCGTTTCCCCGCAACGTGTAACGCACCGGGTTCCCATACGAACAAGGTTTTCGGCATATGGTATAAGGTTTCAATATCATTTTCTATCTCGTTGCCGCAGCAGTACTGAATAGCACTATGTGTTTACTCTCATTTTGGGGAAAATGTTAGATTGAATAGTAGCCTTAAATGTACAGAGTAGTATTTATGAGATTCATAATGGTTAGCCTGGTCTGTCTACATAAAATATGTTGCACGTATCAAAGGCTTTGGTAGTACAAGCTGAAGAGGGGTCGATCACAATATGTCTTAATTCTAAAAAGAGAATGCTTGAAAAAGTCTTAAGAACTATTTATGGGGTGTTTACCTATAAAAATATTCCTCGAAACCGCGGCTTGGCTGGTGAGGTACGTTATTATCACGGTCTCAAACCCTTCAGTAAGGAGACGAAATCTCAACATGACGACTAATAGCATGCAACTGTATCCATCCTATATATAATTTAAGTAACAGCTAGGCATTACAAAACTATACGTGAAGTAATGGCCTTTCTTAAACATGGGATAGTTGGGATCTCGAGGCACGGGGCTTGATGTACATAAGATCTTGGCCGGTCTTAGGGGATTATCGAATGATGTATTCAGGTTGACGGAAGAACAAAACATTGAACCTGGTTGACTTCTAGGACTGCTAGTGACCTTGATTCGAAATATATTCCGATTCGTCTATGTCCGCTTTACTATCTCCTCCAGTCTCATTCGGCTAATTTAATGCACGCGTCAAAAGTCCAATATGTACGAAAAGTCTTTGCTTTGCTCCCCTCAGGGAGCAAGAAAACACCGCACCTTAATATTAATAGAGTATCAAAATAAACTCAGCAAAAGATATCCTAAAATTAGTCAAGATATTCTAAATTTTTATAAAGTTACCTAAGTCTCTCTGTCACTGAGGGTCAAGGTCCTGAGTTTTCTTTCCTCCCCTAGGCTCCGTTATTCCATGAAATCCCACGTTCATGGTTCCCCACGCTACCCCAAGTGGGTAAGCCAAGCCGTTGTCACAAACGCTCCCATTGGCTCGTCTGAGATCACGACAGAGGCTACTAACATGGCGACATGTCAACTTCGCGTCTCAAAGACAAACCCTTCATGAAAATGGTGATGTCATGGAAGTGATAAAGTGCCGGCAGTGGTTCATTCTACGCGCCAACGTCATGTTTGGGTCGTTTGGGGAAAATGCTCCGACCGATGCATCTAGATTGTGCATCCATCAGTGCACTCTAATCTCTCTATGCATCGCTCTTATTTGTGGAAAGGGCAACAGTTGTTGCAGATCTCGTCTGCGGTACTTTTGAAGAAGTAGTGTTCTCAGCGGTTGGAGAAGTACCTAGTATCAGCGTTGCATCGAAATGACAAGTTGGAATGGATGAAACCTCATGAAGATCTGAACAAGGGACGTATGGTGCAATATTACTAGAGAGAGACATCATTCTTACTCCGCAAGCATATTTATTCGATATGTCCCACCTGCAATCCAAAGTTTCTACCGCTTTGCAACATCTGGTCTCGAGACGCGGCTCTATACAATGACTGCCGACCTGAAGAACGATTCGCCGCCGGACCTCAGCGACGAGGCCGGCACCGTCGACTCTAGCTCGCAAATAAACGAGAAAGCCCTGCTACGCAAACTTGATTTGAAGCTTCTACCAGCAGTTGGGATTCTTTATCTGCTTTCGTTCTTGGACCGCAGCAATGGTATGGATGATTGCAACAGAACGGCGTGATGTCGAGCTGACATAAACGGACAGTTGGCAATGCTCGTATTGAGGGAATGATTGACGATCTGCACATGTGTAAGATAAAAAGATGTATGCCTGGAAACCTGTCTCTGAAATTTGATAGCGGGGAATGAGTATCTCACTGGCTTGACGCTGTACTTTATTGGTTATGTCCTCTTCGAGGTTCGTCGCCCTTCATTGTCTCCAAGCATGAATCTGACAGCTCCAGATCCCATGCAATATTATCCTCAAGCGAACTACGCCTCGACTCTGGCTGCCAACACTCACTGTGGCCTGGGGTATCGTTGCGACTCTTCTCGGTATCGTGCAGAACAAGACTGGTTTCTTCATTGCTCGATTCTTCCTTGGTGTAACTGAGAGCGGATTGTTTCCCGGTGGGTTCACTCGTGAAGGCTGCAGTTCGGAATGGCCGTATTGATGATGAATAGGTGTTGTGTACTACTTCTCCATGTGGTACAAACGTCGTGAGCGACAATATCGTATCTCGCTATTCTTCAGCGCTGCATCACTAGCTGGAGCGTTCGGTGGCATCTTGGCATATGTAAGTCACCTTGGCTTCTATCAGGCAGTTGTACTAATGGAATCAGGGGATTGGTAAGATGGCAGGTGTCGTCTGGGATAATGGTTGGCGATGGATCTTCATCTTGGTGAGCCGCTACACCGACATTATCCAGGCCAAGCTAACGATAAACAGGAAGGTATCGCGACAGTAGTAGTCGCCGTTGCCGCATACTGGTTCATCGAGAACTACCCCGATACCTCAAAATTCCTCACCAAATCAGAGCGCTCCTTCATCCATGAGCGCCTGCATGCAGACAGTGACGCGATTCGCGAAGAGAAGTTCAGCTGGGCTGCTGTTCGCGAGGCATTCAGTGACCCCAGTTGCTGGCTGTACGGTCTGGGCTTTCACACCATGAGTCTACCGCTGTACACACTGTCACTGTTCCTGGCAAGTTACCATGCTCTTAAGTTAGAGTTCATACTAACAGAATTAGCCCACCATCATCAAGGACCTAGGATACAAAGCTGCAGTGGCACAGCTCTTGACAATCCCACCATACGCCGTCGCCTTCATCACAACTCTAGCTGTTGCCATCGCCTCTGAGAAACTCGCCAAACGCGCTGTCTTCATCGCCGGCTCAGCTGGTGTCGCAGCAATTGGCTACATTATCCTTCTCGCCAACACGAACCCCACCGCAAGACCAGGAGTCTCATACGTTGGAACATTCTTCGCCGCAGCTGGAATCTACCCGGCCACTGCTCTTGTCCTCAGTTGGCCCGCGATCAACGTATCTGGACAAACGAAACGTGCTATTGCGAATGCTATGCAGATCAGCATTGGAAACCTTGGAGCAGTCATGGGGACGCAGCTTTATCGATCTGGTGATGGACCGCGATTTGTGGTTGGACATTCCATGGCTTTGGGATATCTTGTTGCTAATATTGTGGTTGTGACTATACTTGGCTGGAGGTTGAAGAAGCAGAATGATGCGCGGGCGGCGGTGAGTGAGGAGATTAAGCACGTTGGAGAGGTGGAGGACTGGAGAGGCGATACTGATCCGCGATGGAGGTTTGAGTATTAATTCTAACGAAGAACAAAAGAACGACTTGAAATTTGGTTGAGGGGCTTTGAGAAGGGTTCACGAGAGTAGCGATGATCAGACAAAATGTATCCGAATTGACAGTACCAAATACCATCGCCCATTACCTGGCTACCTAGTGATATCCTCTTTCTGCCAAGCCACTCATTCCTATAGACTCGACGTTGCCCTCGCACGTAGGCTTGCTCCAACCTTCCACAGCAACAACGGCGCAGCCAACTCGAGCGCCAGCTCGGCAAACGCCATAGCACTGTTCCCCCATCCATACCCAAGAGCAGCATACATCTTTGGCGTAAACAGCGGGAACAAGAAAGCAGCCAGACTGCGAGGAAACTGCTCCGCCGCGATAGCACTTGAAGTATGATCCGGATAAGCATCGATCAAGTACGCTTGCAACGGCATACCAGAGATCTGCATGCCGAAACAGGTAATGAACATGGCTACATCAACCCATGCCCAGTGGACTCTGAACTCAGCGCACCAGCCATAGACGATGAAGCCAATTGGCGCGATGAAAGCACCCATCGCCATAAGTGGTACTCTGTTTTCTGGTAGATGCTGGCCATTGCGACGCTCAGTTCTACGGAACCAGTAGTCCATCAACGGCGCGCCGATTTGTGACGCTGCTAATTCACCCAATGCACATGAGATGTAGTGGAGGCCACTTATCTCAACCGATTGTCCATATTGCTGTGTCCAAATCTCTGCGAAACTTGAGAGAACGATGTACAAAAGACCATAGCCAATGGCGGAGATGACAGCAGCGACTTGGATGATGGGATGGAAGGCTAAAAGACGAAGGGGACGGGTCATAGCTTGGGTGAGGACCTTTCTCAAAGTATGTCCCTCTTGTGTTCGCTCCGCGTAAGTATAATATGGCTGGCCGGTCTCTTTGCGCAATTTCTTAGCCCGCTTCTTAAGAATTGCAGGGGCGTATGTCTCGCGGAACGTGGTGAAAGAGATAGCAGCCATTGCGACTTGGAACATGGAAGTAGACCAGAACATCCATCGCCAAGAAATCCGATCAGTCATGAAACCGCCAATGATAGGGCCTTTTGTCAGAGTTAGTGACGTGACCCTCAAAGAAATGAGGCTTGGACTTACCGGTTGCGGCCCCGATGAGAGGAATGACAGAGTACCATCCAAGAGACTTGCCACGCTGGTCAGGACGCCAGATGTCGCCTAGAACACCGCCTCCAAGAGCATAAACAGCACTTGCGCCAAAGCCAGCGAGGAAGCGTGTGCCGATAAGCATCTCCTTCGAGTTTGCGAACCCGCACGCAAGATTCCATACCAGGAACCAGATATTGGATACGTGAAGAATTGTCTTGCGTCCATAGACCTCAGATAATGGTCCAATGACCAGAGGACCAAAGGCAGTTGCTAAAAGGTAGATACTCAGGGCCATGACGGATTGAGTCGCTGTCATGTCGAGGTCCTTAGCGATGACAGAGAGTGCGGGAGCCATTACTGTAGAGACGAGGATGCGGTTGAAGCCTGTTATTGAGAGAACGTTTGTTACCGCCCATTTCCGCTTTTCGGGCCAGTTCTTGGGATTATCGCTGTCGAGTTCATTGAAAGCGACGAGGTATGGATCTGCTGGGGTGCTGTTGAGTACACCAAGCTCAGTGTCGAGAACGGGTTCTTTCACGTCTGTAGTCATTTTGTATCAAGAAAACCCGTACGAATAGCATACTCAATCGAAGATGCTTTGCTAAGGTGAGGATATTTATACCCCGCATCGCAGCCAGTATTCGCGGCCGGAGACCGATTCCTCCTGGAAAGGTAGTGCTTACGGAGGTAGCGCGGAGCTATCGGTCGTGATGTCTGTTATCAGATCCTGCTTATCAGATCGGCAAATTAGTGGCGTGAATTCAATCGTCAAGCGAGCCAATGCGAGAGAAAGTGGCTTGCCGAAACCTTGCACATGTTGGGGTTGAATGACTCAACGTGAGAAGGATTTGGGGCCAAGGACAAAAGGACCCGACTGATCCGAGACGACGAAGTAATACGGCTGAATTTGGCAGGCCGAAGTGATTCACGATTTTATGCGTCGGTGTATCATGAATCCTTTCAATGCATGTGCCATATTGTCTCATGCGATGACATTGTCTTATTCAATTTGTATTTGGTTGCTATATATCGTTCATTTCCGGCTCCCTCACTCTGAAGTCGAGATCGCAAACTCCATAGGCTTCGACATAGCAGACTTCATAAACGGACTTCGCGCCCTAATCTCCTTACCCCAGATAAACACCCCAATAGGCGCCGCGGCCAACACCAACGAGATGAACCCCAACAGCGAACTAGCCCAGTGAAAGCCCAAATTCGTGTACATGCTGCTCGAAGCAAGCGGCAAAAACGCGACGCCCAAGTTCTCGCCTAACACTGTAGCTCCAATAGCACTTCCAGCATAATTGCTATAAGCATCGATTAGATAGTTCGCGATACTAACGACAACAGCCTCAGTGCCAAGTCCAACGAGCATAAGTCCAATTGCAGGTCCGATCCAGTGCACTGAGGAATAGCTTGTCCAGGCGTAGACAAACATTCCGCCCGTGACACCGATGAAACCTCCGATTACTGCGGCGTAGAGTCGAGCTTCGGGGATGGGTGTTCCGGGCGCTTCTTTATTGCGTGACGCAGAAGCGTAATACCAGTTGTTTGTCAGGACACAAAGACCGAAGCCAAGAATCTCTCCGATGACGATAGCTGCTTGAACGTAGCCGGCTTCAATGGCGTTCCATCCGTACAGTGCTGTGAAGACTTGTTCAACAGATTGCGTGAAAACGTAAATCACTCCCAGACTGAACGCCGTCCAGATAGTTGAGATGAAGACAACCGACTCGGTGCAGAGCATGTAGAGTGGTCGCTGAATGCTCGTCCAGATATCGTGAAGAATCGACTTTGACTCAAGCTCCTTCTGGCTGTACGCGTTCTTCCCTTGCTTTCTCAACTTCTTCGCTCTCGCAGTCAATATCGCTGACCCTCGCGTCTCAGGCATGGCCAGGATGAAGATTGGGAAGAAAACACCAGTCCAGATGAGCTCTATGTAGCCAATCCATCGCCAGGGCAGGAATTGAAAGATAGCAGCGCCGATGACGGGGCCAAGGCTGCTGGCGTTCAGGTAGATCATGATATACAACCCAGTTGGAATTGTTCGAGCTCGATCAGTAGCAAAGACATTTCCGATGATGCCAGCTACTGCATTCGCGAGAATAGTGCAGCATCCACCACTGAAGAAGCGAGTGATGATCAAAGTCGCGTAGTTAGGCGCCACTCCAACGGGAATGAGAAAGCAGAGGAAGACGGTGTACACCACAAGAAACACAAGTCTCATTCCAAAGTCTTCCATGATCGGGAGCAAAACCAATGAGAACAACGCACCACCCAATCCCCATGATGCCACGGGCCAATAAGAGTGCGGAAAGTTCTCGTCGCTGACATTGAAGTCCTCGCCAATTGCTTCGTGCGCTGTAGTGATGATTGTTCCGTTCATCATAGAGATGAACGTCGCGAAGAGTCCCAGACCAACGGCGAACCATTTCTTCTTGCGGGACCAGTTATAAGGATTCCCAGGGTCATTTGGGCCGTCCCATTGGACAATTATCGGTTGCTCTATCTTAATTAGCACTTCATCTCTCAACATCACTCTCAATTGCAACATACCAGACGACTCATTGCTACGAGCAACCTCAGATCTCTCCGTTTCAGCAAACATACTTTCTGATAGCTTCGCCAAGTGAAACTACTTGGCAAGATCTCTTGGCTGATAATATTTGCAGTTTTAGAAATGCCAAGTGAACAGCCAAGAGATGGAGATTCTGAGGAACGCTTCTTATGACTTCATCTCTAGTCCATGTTTGGTTCTCCACCGAAATTTCTTCCTAATTCCGGACCCATAGAATCGATCTTGTTACCTCATATTAATTCAACGGAGCCAATGAAGGGATCTCGGCTATGATGAATTTGTGGTTGCGCTAGCCTGGAAAGCGGCAAAGTTTGGAGGCTAGAGACATCGCTGTGAATTGCCATTGTCGGTAATCCTCCACGGTGCTTGGTAATCTTACACCGTCTTTGAGTATCAACTTGAGATTGATTCGTATCTGCTACAGGACGAGTTTTTTGGGCGGCAAGATTGCCTTTTCTCATTTCTCTGGGGAAGATATGAGGCTAGGCCGATCAATTGTGTTTGTCTCATACAAGTTGCCCGGCTGAGCAGCACTACCCTGCATCATTGAACTTGTTAGCATGTAACCGTCGGGTTTCCTCAAAGCTACTCATATAGCTGGTCGAAAATGGGTGACAGCGGCTTGATGTGGGTGCAGTCATGGCTTGATGCTTTGGTCATCATCATGCCGACTATTTTCCGATGACCTGAAATACCTCAGCTGTCAGCTTGAATTCAACCCCGCTTCCGAGGTCAGCCGAATTCAAAGCTGTTTTTGCAACTTTGCCAAGAAAGCAGCTCGAGTCTAGGGTACGGATAAAGTTCTGTGGCTTTATGAATGTTTCGAACTTGGTCCAAGGGCAATCATGTGGCTTATCAACACAACGACAATCGCACTAGAGGACAAGAACATATCATCAACTCCCTATGCAATCCTATCGCATACCTGGGGTGAAGATGAAGTCACATTTGAAGACATGATGAAGGGTCAAGAGAAGGGAAAGAAAGGCTATGTCAAGATCATACACACATGCAGATTAGCCAAAGAGAGGGGAATCACATACGCATGGGTTGACACTTGCTGTGTCGACAAGAGGAGCAGCGCAGAGCTGGCGGAAGCTATAAACTCCATGTTCAACTGGTACAAGCTGTCAGAAGTTTGCTTTGCTCACCTCGAAGATTTGGACCTTCATCGCGGTCCGCAAGATGACCAGCTTTCTGGCTTGTCGTCTTGTCGATGGTTTACCAGGGGATGGACACTGCAGGAACTGATTGCTTCACGAAATCTTGAGTTTTACGACAGTGCTTGGAATTACCGGGGGACCAAAGCAGATTTACAGGGTAAGATTTCAGGCATCACCGGTATCGACATGGCAGTTCTCGAAAATAACGCTATCCTGGAGACTATACCAGTTGCGAAGCGCATGTCATGGGCGGCAAACCGAGAGACCACAAGAGTTGAGGATCTAGCATACTGCCTCCTCGGGATCTTCGGTGTTAACATGCCAATGCTCTATGGAGAAGGGACCAAAGCCTTTGGCAGACTTCAAGAGGAAATCATCAAAGAAACAACTGACCTCTCTATCTTTGCATGGAAAGTCAGTTTGTACGAAGGGAAGTATCTAGGGATATTTCGGCCGCTAGGATTTCGCGGTATCCTCGCTCTAGCGCCCTCCGAGTTCGCACACTGTCGAAATCTCCGCCGCGCTTCAACGATGAGATACGGGCACGAATACAGCATGACGAATAAGGGCCTTAGACTGGAGACATTTCTTGGCGAGAGCAAGGACAAGGAATACGTCCTCAACCTCGCGTGCATGATACCGGATGACAGTGGGAGTGCGTCGAAGATTGGAGTTTACCTTACAAAGACGGCCGATGGCTTTGTCCGTAGCCGACCTTATGAACTATTCGAAACACAAGATTCTCTGTTATGGGCCGGTCCACGCCACAAGATCTTTATTCGAAAACATGTCACGTCATTTGGTTCCACTGACTTGGCAAGGCGCCTCGACATGAATATTGCGTCGCAGTTCAATATTTGTCCTGGATTCAAGCTCGCTTCTTTCGCAGCGAAGCCAGCAGATCTATGGGATACCCTGCGTCAAGAATTCGTCACGGACAGGAGCGAAAAGTTCACTGGTTTTCTCAACTTTCAGCTAACCCATACTTCCAAGACCTTTATCTCTCCTCGGATCTATGTAGTCTTCGGCTTAGAAGCGGATTCGTCATCTGGGGACCTGAAACCGTGGATGGGTATTTATAGCTCTACGGATAAGGAGAGATATGGAAATATAATGGACTGTGTCGATGGATACTACAGTTCGTACGGAGAGGAGTACTACCTGCATCAACTGCGTGACTGCGTTCTCACTTCGGGGAATATTCTACCGCAGAAAATCAGCCTTCCTTCCAGTGATACCGCGCATCGTCTTCGTATCTCTCTTGGGGCTCTTCAGCGATCTCCTGGAAATTCACATACTATCACGGTTAATGTTTCAAACATGGGATGATTTACAGGCCTGTCTCACTTCCTCATGCATCTCAGGTCGAGGCTTGGGAAATTTGAACATTTCTAGCGACAAAGCGCAATTGGCGAGCTCAAGTGAAATTCTTTGATGATTAGTGATAAGTGTCTTACTTCAAAAGCCACAGTCGAGTCTTGAATGGAGCTCACCTAATATTGAATGCTGTACGAATGACAGAAGGATCCAACATAGCCTTCGAATCAGCCCAGTGAGACGTGCAAGTCAGGGATGGGGAGATGAAACGCTGTTACGATTGGCTCTTTGACAAACATCCTTGTGAATGGCGGAGAGACATAGCCAACATAACTCAGCCATGTGGTTTCGTATCTGCAAGGTTGTCCGAATCCTTTCGGCATTTGGGGGCCATAATTTCACCAGAACGACAGGGTCCTTGCAATCCTTGTGATGTTGACAGCTTTCGTTGGCTATTACTGGGCAGAAAAGCTTGAAATAAGAAACAATGGT